AAAACGTTTTTTGTATTATACCGTCCTTATTTAACTTTTTGTTTATAAAGCACGTATTATTTTACGGTTATTACAAACCGTTTATAAATTTTTTTACGTTTTTTCCCGGTGGCTAACCGGTTTGGTACGTTTAAAACATTTTTTTTGGGCCATTCCTTTGGCTTTTATTACTTTTTTCCTGTAATACCCCCGTCCTTTCCGGGTATTTACCCGTTAAAGTTCGGTATTTTCCTTATCTTATAAGCTTATTTACAATAAGTTTGCTTTATACGCTTAAATAATTTTTTTCGTAATATCCTTTTTTAAAATTTACAAATTTTCCGATTCGTTATAATTTATCCATTTAACCAAATATTTTCGTTTCCGCAAAAGCTTTTTATATTCCAACAAAGCCTTTACTTCGAAACGATCCTTTTTTTTTTTTCGATTTTTGGTTTTTTATTTTTTGGTTTTTCGCTGGGCCTTTTTTTAAACGCCCGCAATAAATTTGCCGGGAATACGTTATATATCCGGTAATTTACCAAAAGCTTTAACCGAAACGCTAAACCGGCTAACCCAACCATTTTTAAAATTTAAAAAGGTCCTAACCATTTGTTCGATAACTTTTTTAACGGCCTTTTTATTTTAATATTCGCCGTATTTAATAATACCTAATTGCTTACCCCGAAAAGCACCGGGGTTTTGCTTTTATTATAATACTTTTTGTATATATTATTCGCTTTTTTTAGCAATTTTTTGGCTTGCTTTTTAATTGCTTCCAAAGCCCCCGCCTTAATTTTAGCCGTTGCTAAAGGTTTTTTTTTAATTACCCAAAAGTTATAAAGCTTTTGTAAGTAAAACTTTATTAACAAAAACGCCGGGGTTTTTTGCAACCCTAAATGTACGCTCGTATTGTGCATTTACGCTGCTAAATGCAATAGCAACGCCCAATCGTTTTGCTTTTTGCAGCAAAAGCACCGAAAGTAATGCTTTATTGCTTAATTCGTTCGTTCCGTTTGCCCGTCGGTTTAAAAGTAATATGCTATCGATAGCTTCCTTTTAACCCTTAGGTATCCGGCGAAAGTTATTTAAAACCCGCTTGTAAATAACTTGTTTCGGTTCGATACAATCCCTTTAAGCGTTTTTAACAGCCCCCAAACGTATGCAAACAAAAAGCTCCTTAGTTTTTTATTGGTTAATTTTATGGACGTTGGAATAAAAAAGCTATATTTGGTAAACCGGTCGACCATTACCAATATTGCGTTGCGCTTTTTGCCGGTTTCATTTACCAACGTTAAAAATTTTTCGATAAAATTTATCGATAGCTTTTGTCCCGGGCGGTTTGGTACGGGCAAAAATGCTAGCAGCCCGTAAAGTACCTGTATTTTCGGCTTTATTTATTGGTATATTTAATACGTTCGTACGTATTTGCGTACGTTTTTAGCCATACCCGGCCATTTAAATTGCCGTTTAAACTTTTTTAAAATTTTGGCTATGCTTTTGTAACCCCCCGTTGGGTTATCGTATTGTTTTTAAAGCATTGCCCGTTGCAACGGCGCTAAATTCGGGACCTAAACTTTTTTTTTGTGCTTAAATAAACCGTTATTAATCTTTTAAACGTTAGGCTTGCTTTTTTAAATACCGTTTTAAACGAAATCGTTTTTTGTTTGTACTTTAAAAATGCGCTTTAATATCGTTTTAATATCCTTTTTAATAATGGTCGTTTTTACGTAAATTGCTTTTCGGAATTTAGCCAATAAATCGTTTCGGAATTTTTCCTTTGCCTTATTGGCCTCCCCGTTTACGGGTATGTTTTGGGGACGTTTTAATAAATTATTTGCGGGGTTCCGGTATTTTGGCTTTTATTTAATCGTAAAATTGTACTTTGTTAAATCCTCGAACCATTTTGCTTAGCGCTTTATTACCTTTTCCTTTATTAAAATATAAGTATAATTTAAATGGTCGGTAATTACTTTAACAATTTTTTGTAAATAGGCCAAATAATGCCGCTACTTTTCGAAAGCTTTTACGATCGCTAACAATTTTAAATTAAAAATCGCATAGCGCAATTTTTTTTATTGCAATTTTTTTAACATGTAAGCTACCGGGTGCTACCGGCCGTTTTGCAGCTGCAATAGCACCGCCTTTATTGCAAAAGCCAAAGCGTTAATCCGCACGCACAACGGTTTTAAAAGGTCGAAATGCATTAATACCAAAACTTTTGTAAATAGCAATTTTAATTTGCAAAAAGCCTTTTTCGCAATATTTTTTAAATAAAATACGGTATTTTTGCTAAAAAGGTTCGTTAAAAGCATAATAATTTTCGCGTAACCCTTTACAAATTTCCAATAATACCCCGTAAAGCTTAAAAATACCTGGATATTTTTAACGCTTTCCGGTATTCTTCATTTTAAAATCGCAATAATTTTATCCGGCAAAATTTCGACCCCGAATTTGGTTATCCTAAACCCCAAAAAGTTAATATTATCCGTTTTAAATTCGTATTTAACCGGGCTAACGTAAAGCTTAAACCGTTTAAATCGCTTTAATACCGTTTTTACTGCCTCGCGGTGCTCCTTTTGTATTTTCGAAAAAATAAGGATATCGTTTAAATATATAATGCAATTATTATTAATTAATTTCCCAAACGCTATATTAATAAAGCTTTGGAACGTTATTAAAGCGTTAGCCAAACCGAAAAGCATTATTAAGTATTCGTAATGTCCATACTTGCAACGGAAAGCAATTTTCCATTCGTTTTTTTGTCGAATCCGTATTTTATAATAAGCGTTTTTTAAATCCAGCTTAATAAAGTACTAATTTTTAAATACCCGGTTAAATATTTTATAAATTAGCGGGAATGTTAGCCGGTTTTTTTTGGTAATTTTGTTAAAACCCCGATAATCGATACAAAAGCAAAGCTTTCCGTCCTTTTTTAAAACGAATAAAATTCCGGCGCCGGCGGGGCTGGTTAAATGCCAAATCCAACCTTTCGTTATAGCTTTATCGAAATACCCCCGAAAGGTTTTTAATTCCTTTTTAAATAAAAAATAAATGCTTTTGTAAAGCGGCATCGTTTTTTTTTCCAATTTAATCGCGTAATTCCAGCCTATATGTTTTAGCAAAAGGTTCGATTTATAAAATTACGCATATTTTGCAATTATCCTTTTAACCTATTCCGGAAAAGCTTTTAGCCTTTTCCCGGGGTTTTCCGGGGTTTCCGGGCGTGCAACCGTTAGTACGGTTATCGCTTGTCCCAATTGGATTAACTTTTTAGCTATTTCCAACGAAATTATTTTAACCTTTTTAATGGTTACCGAAAACCTTTACTTTATATCCCCAAACCGGATTTTAATATCCTTTTGCTAAAATTAAAGCATGCCTAACGTAATGTTATACCCGGCCCGGGGCACCATTACGTAAAATACCATTAACTTTCGGGTTATTCTTTAGTTATTCGTTACCCAAATTTTGTATTTCTTTACTTTTAGCGTAAGCATGCGTTTTTTGGTATCGAATTACGCCAGGTAACCTTTGTTTGGCACCGGTATTTTTCTTGTTTCCACCAAAAAACGGTTATATAACAAATTAACGTTGCTTTTATTATTAACCAACGCTTTTAACTTTACCCGGCAACCGTTAATCCGTAAATACACTTTGGTTTTTTAGCGCGTTTTGGCCGCCGGGGCGCACTTTTAAGCCCCGGTATTTAAACGGCTAAATAGCGGTATCGAATTGGGTAACGATATTTTGCTTTTTTTAAAGCACGCCGGCCGGATATAGCCCAGCTTTTTACACCCGTAATACCGTACTTCGGGCCTTTTCCTTTTCGCCTTTTATATGGTCGTTGGAATTAACGGGGTTTTCGGGTTATCCGTTCGTATTTTGCATATTGCAACGATATAATTTAGCTACCCGCATTTAAAATAAGTAACCGGCTTTTTAAAAGCTAAAATATTTGTATCCTTTGGGGTCCTTTTGTACGGTTCCAATATTATTTTTGCTTTAAAGGCTTTGGCTTGCAATTTTTTTATAATGTAAAAAAAGTTTTTAAATATTACCCGTTTTTGGATTTCGGGGCGGAACCGGTTAAAAAGCAATATCGTTTTTATCCATTTGGGTGCTAATTCGGAAAGGTTATCCTTTACCAAATCCTAACAAATCCGGAACGCTTTAAACGATTTGTAATCCCTTTGTTTAATAACGGTATTTCCCGCGAACTTTTTAATTGCTAGTTATATCCGCAAATCGGGGTTTTTCGACCTTATTTAAAATTACCGCAAAAAATCGGCCTAAATAAACGATACCCCGGTATTTAAGTAATGCATTTGCTTGTATTTTGTCCATTATGCCCGTTAATAATGGTCGAAAGTGCTAAAAACTATTTGGACTTTTATACGGTTTTTACCGTAGCGTTCCTTTTTGCTTTTAAAAATAAATTTGTAATTGTTAATATAATAAGCGATGTTTTGCCAAATTGCCAACTTTTTAAATATGGAAAGTTTAAAAGTAACCTTATTTTACGTAAAACCTTTTCGTTGTTTAAAAGTATTTTTTTTATTTTCGTTTAAACCTTTATGCGCATGCTTCGACCTTTTGTTTTAAATTTTCTGGATTAAACGGGCGCGTTTGCTTTAAGCCTTTAGCGCGTTGTTTATTTTTTGCAGTTTTTTTACGAAAAGGTTTTCGAAATCGTCGGGAATTTGTAGGGCTCCTTTGGTATTTTATTCCGGTGGCCCAACGGCCTTTTCCGACGTGCTTAACGTAGCGTTGGGCGTTATTATAAGCGGTGCGAGGTCGCAAATGCCCTTTTTAAATTTATTCGATCCCTTTCGATAATTATCCGGGCTTATTCCTTAAATAAAAAAGGTATAAAAAAAGGAATAATATGTTAAGGGTTAATCGGTGCAAAAGCGGGTAATTACCGGGTTACGGGCCGGATGCGGTATTTTTTTTATTAAACTTTCGTAAATTTTTTACCAAAGGTATTATCGTTAACAAAGATTGTTCCTTTTTTAACCTTCCTTTTTTTCGTGCCCTTTCGGGCACCCGGGGTCGGTTTTTTAAATCCTCCGCGTTTTAAGCGCTTTCGTGCAATTTAAGCTTTACCTTATTTTTTAGCTTTGTTATTATGCTTTGGCCGCGATACCGGTAATTTGCCGGCATATTTTTGGGGGGTTTGTGCCCGGCTAGCTACCAGCGCCCTTTTTTTCCTTTTTTGCCGGGCGGTTTCGCCCGTGCATTTAACGCTTCCCGCTTTTTGCCGGGCGGTTTCGCCCGTGCTTTTAACACTTTATTGCCGACCACGTCCTTGCAATAAATACATTTAAAGGACCCCGTACAATTATCGGAATATATTGGCATACGGGGGTCGACGGCATAATTTTAATATGCTTAATAACCAAAATAACGGCTACAAAATATTATACGCTCCGTATAATTGTTTTTAAAAAAGGGCAAATAAATAAGGTTTTAATTATTGCTTTATTGGAAATCGATAATTTTTTGCAACGGAAGCGCGTTACGAATACCCATATAAAGCGAGGAAAAAGCAATATCCGTTTCGGGGGCAGGTCCATTGGAATCGAAAGCGTTGCGGCGGCGTTCGTCGCGCGCTTTACGCTTTTTTTCGGCGGAGGTTTTTTTGCTACAACGGTTAAAGCCCGCCGGGGGGTTACCGGCAAAACGCTTGCGGGAATTTTAAAAGGTTATAAGCGCAAAAGGGCCCGATGGACCCGCAACATTTAAAAAGCTTACCGAAAGGTTACTAACAAAGCGATCGTTAAGGATTTAAAAAATTAAAAGCTTCGGCAAAACCGAATCCAAATCCAACTAAACCATAATAATTAAAAAAAATACCGGGGGGTTGCCAAAAGGGGCCAACGGGCCGGTTGGAACCGAAAAACCCAAAACGGACATTCGAAGGAATATTACCTTTTTTACGTAATTGGGTACGAAAAATAATATTTGCAATTACCGGTTAAATTTAAATATTTAAAAAAAGCGGTTAAATACCAATTATTTACGGTTATAATCGTTAAAATTATTAAAATGGTTATTAAATGTACAAAAAGGAAAAAAAAGGGCTCGTAGCTTTAAACGGGAAAAAAAGCTTTTTATATGCCGGTACGGACTTACTTTTCCAAATGCCATAAAGTTTTATAACCGGTTTTTCCAAACGTTGCCAAGCATTAGGGCGGCTTAGCGGAATACCGTAAGCTACCGGTTATTTACGGGGTCGCACGCGCGGTACAAATGGCTTGGGATAAGCCGTATTAAAAAAAAGCAATATGTTAAAAGCACGGGCAAAACCGCCCGGCAAAAAGCGGAAAGCGTTAAATGCACGGGCGAAACCGCCCGGCAAAAAAGGAAAAAAGGAGCGCTGGCAGCTAACCGGGCACGGACCCCCCGGGAATATGCCGGCGAATTACCGGTATTGCGGCCAAAGCATAATGGCAAAGCTAAAAAATAAGGTAAAGCTTAAATTGCACGAAAGCGCTTGGAGCGCGGAGGATTTAAAGGACCGACCCCGGGTGCCCGAAAGGGCACGAAGGAAGGGGAGGTTAAAAAAGGAACAATTTTTGTTGGCGATAGCACCTTTGGTAAGAGATTTACGGAGGCCTAACAAAGGAGACACCGCATCCGGCCCGTGACCCGGTGACCACCCGCCTCTGCACCGATTGACCCCTGACAGATTTTTGATGGTGTCTGCAGACTTTTGCTGCATGACTGTATATCCCCTTTGGGCTGAAAGAGGCCATAAGACATGTTGCTGGACAGCAAGGCTGGCACGCTTGATCCTTTTCCCCTTGCCTTAACTCTCTTCTCTGTTCGCTTTTCCCTTGGTTTCTCCAGGCACGTCGCAGGCAGCCCTACGATGACCCTGAGCATTTCAAGAATGACTGCTCATGTCTAAGTGCCAGAGTAAGGGCATCAAGGTGACGTGCATAGAGTGGACCCACCTGATTGGTCGTGGTTGGGCGCGGCGCAACACTGCCCCGCGCCAAATTGACTCTGTCCAGCCTTCGGCCCAGGGACCAGAGAAGAGTCACCGCGAGCCAGAATCGAGGGCAGCTTTTTCTTGCGAGCTGCTGTGCATGCTATTCCCATTGCCGCGTCTTGACCACTCGGAATACCCTCACAAAACACCGCCAGCATGCCTACCATCGGAGTAAATAAGGCCGAGTTCTACCAGGAGCTCGGGCAGAGGTACGTCGGTCCTGCGCGCTTGCCCCTCCACCTCGACGGCTTGGCCTCTTCAGCCTTGCGGCCAGCCGACGAAGCTCAAACCCAAGCCCCCGCGCCGCCACCTGCTCTCGATCCTGACCCGTCGCGCCCATTCCAGCTTCACCGCGGACGAGTTCCAGCGCCTGTGCTTCGAGTTCGGCCTCGAGCTCGACGAGGACACCGAGGATGACCCCGCCCGCCCCAAGGACGAGCTGCCCCAGCTCAAGATCGAGACCCCCGCCAACCGCGCCGATCTCCTCTGCTTTGAGGGCCTGGCCACGAGCCTGAACGTCTTCCGCGGCAAGGAGCCCGCCCCCAACTTCAGGGTGCTCGAAACCCCGCGCGACAAGATGCACACCATCACGGTCAAGCCGGAGACCGCCGAGGTCCGCCCCTACATCGCCGCCGCCGTGCTGCGCAACGTCAAGTTCACCCAGGCTTCCTATGACTCCTTCATGGGCCTGCAGGAGAAGCTGCACGCGAACCTGGCCCGCCAGAGGACCCTCGTCGCCATCGGCACCCACGACCTCGACACCGTCAAGGGACCCTTCACCTACGAGGCCCGCGCCCCCGCAGACATCAAGTTCAAGCCGCTAAACCAGACAAATGAGATGGACGGCAACGAGCTCATGGCTACGCTAGAAAAGGACAGGCATCTGGGCAAATACCTCCCCATCATCCGCGACCACCCCCGATACCCCGTCATCTACGACTCAAACGAGGTCGTCTGCTCGCTGCCGCCCATAATCAACGGCGAGCACTCAAAGATCAAGCTCCAGACCACGAACGTGCTCATCGAGGCCACTGCCACCGACAAGACCAAGCTCGATGTGGTCATCGACACCATGGTCACCATGTTCTCCAAGTACTGCGCCGACAAGTTCACCGTTGAGCCTGTCCTGATCAGGCGTGCCGACGGCGGCGAGCACGTCACTCCCGATCTTACCCCGAGGAGGATAGAGGTGGAGGTTGACTACATCAACCAGTGCTGTGGCCTGTCCGAGTCGCCCGACGCAATCTGCGCGCTTCTGGAGAAGATGGCCTTCAAGGCCAAGCCCCTGAACGAGAAGACCATCGAGGTTTCGATCCCGCCCACGCGCTCAGATGTCCTACACCCCTGCGATGTGGTAGGTCGTGTTTCTTTCAGCTGCTGTTTGCTTCTTTTTCCCGCTTGGGCTCATTCATGAGGTTTCTCCCACTGACATGTGTCCGCGCCACCCAACAGATGGAGGATGTCGCTGTCGCATACGGCTTCAACAACCTGCCGCGCCGCCTGCCGACCCAGTCAGCGACTGTGGGCAAGGGCCTGCCCATCAACAAGCTCAGCGACATTGTCCGTGCCGAGTGCGCCATGGCGGGGTGGAAGGAGGTGATGCCGCTCGTGCTCTGCTCGCACGACGAAAACTTTACCTGGCTGAACCGGCCCGACAACGGCTCCACAGCCGTCAGGATAGCGAACCCCAAGTCGGCAGAGTACCAAGTCGTGCGCACCTCGCTCCTGCCGGGCCTGCTAAAGACGATCCGCGAGAACAAGAAGGTCAGGCTGCCGCTCCAGATCATGGAGACCTCCGACGTCGTCTTCCAGGACCTCTCGCTCGAGCGCAAGGCCCGCAACGAGCGCCACTGGGCCGCCGCCTACTGCGGCACCACCACCGGCTTCGAGGTGGTCCACGGCTTGCTCGACAGGATCATGGCCATGCTCCGCGTCACCGATTACTCCATCGAGGAGCTGGTCGGCGACGCCGCCTTCTTCGCCGGCCGCGCCGCCGCCGTCTTCCTCGGCTCGGGCGACAAGAGGCGCCGCATCGGCGAGCTCGGCGTTCTCCACCCCACAGTCCTCGAGAAGTTTGATTTGAGGTATGTAGTCATCATTCTCACCCCGTTTCGTACATCAAGCTCCCCCATTCCCGCTCCGACATTGCTAACCCAAATCCGCCCTTGCGGATTCTAGATACCCTGTAAGCACACTAGAAATCAACCTCGAAGTTCTGCTGTGATCTTATTGGCGCGAGATTTTTTTCTCGTCATCGGGACGTATGTTCGAAGTCTTCAGGTAGCACAGATCAGTTCAAGGAAAATTAGACATTCGTCGTGTTTTTTTTATGACGCCCCGACCCACCTATCTAGGTCTATCAACAAAGTCCAGTATTCCATGCCAGACCAACCCGCTAAACGAAAGTACAGTATACAAGGCGCTCAAGTCTACCATGCATTCATAAGCCATGAAACTATGAGTGTCTAGTTGTAGAGCAAGAAACAAACCCGCCGCCACCTCCCTCCTTTCTTTTTGTCAATAACGCTCCGCTTTGAACCGGATCCCCCGATCAGAAATTCCTGCCAAAAAAAAAGTCTCCCATTCTAACCATCCATAAGTCCCGTCTGACAACAACACACTCCCAAAAGCATGCCGGGGCGCCGAGTCCCAGATGACATAATTGGAATAGAGTAAGGAATAAGCGTGCTGCCCGAGTCGGTCGGTGGTCTGGTCACCTATTGCAAAAGCAGTCCGTAACCACAGCCACTACCCAAATATGGCGGCCATGTCGAGAGGCACCACGGATGGAGCGTTCTCGTGCTGCTGCATCTGTTGCTGCAACTGCTCCATCTGTTCATCGCGCCGCGGTATAGACACCAGGTTGAGACTATCGCGGCGGACGTAGGCGATATAGTAGGGCTGATCCGAGGCCGAGAGGTCCTTGAGCACCTTCTCGCCATCCGCGTGCACCCGCACCGTCCTGTCGTTGTAGTTGAACCAGACTTGCTTCTCAAAGTCATAGATCCAGACCCAGTAGTGGCCCGACGCTCCCGTGCTGCCGCCGTGGCAAATCACCGCGTGTATGAGATATTCATGTTCCCGCAGATCGTCAAAGCTGTCGTCATACTTGGCGCGCAGGGCCTCGGCCTCGGCTTCCGGGTCAGCAACGCCAGGAACGTTCACACCAATCTCGCCATCCTGCATATCGCCCGTGTCCTCGGGAGGCGCTGCCGTCTCCTCTTCCGCGGGAGGTGGTGTAGGGTACACGACCCCAGCGGCCCCCATAGCGCCAGTCGCAACGCTTTGCTGGTGATAGTCCTCGAGTTCATCGGCATCAGCGACACCATCCGTCATGACCGTGTCTGTAGCACCCGCGATCGGCGTCTTCTGCTCCTGCTTCTCCCTTGCAGCCACCGTCTTAGGGTTCTCGAGTTCGAGAAAGTCCCAGTACTTTTGGCGCCGCTGCCAAAGCGCATTACCAGGCGAGCTCTCCTTGTACCGATCCATGTAAAGAACCTGCGGAAGCTGAATAGAAACATCGATCTTCTTGCCAGCTCGGGCCGACTGGTCGTAGACTGTCCTCTGGATGCAGATGTGCAGGATGGGTGGGAATTTACGAATGCTGCTGAACGAGAGAAATGGATTGTTTGGATCTTGTGGGTTCTCACTGATCTCCCGCATGAAGCCCCTCTCAAGTGCTTCATGCAGCCCAACCGTCCCGGACCGGGTAGGATAGGCCAAGAGAAAGTACTCGGACGTGCCCGAGTGCAGAGTCCACTCCGCCTTGTTGATGGCCTTGTGATATCCAACTCTGATGAGACGCAGAACCTCCGTGATGGCATCTGTCTGTGCCTGGCCATTGGGTCCCACGGGCTCGACGCCTGTCGGCTTAATAGCGCTCTGCAAGTTGAACAGCATTTTGTCCATGGCCTCCTGGACGTCCTCTTGGTCAGTGCCCTTGATGGTTTTGTCATCCAGAGCTTTCATTATACGGGCGATGGCCTGTTCCTCGGTATCACCAGTCTCAGCCCCGTCGACAGCAGGGTCAATGCCAGCTTCTGGGCTGACGACCTGCACAGTCGCTGGCGAGTCTGTCATATGGACATCACCATCGCTTGCAAGCTCCTGGATGTGCCCCATCCCAAGATCAACTTTCTGGTCAACCAAATCGTCGTCGTTGACTTGGCACCGCATGCTGCTCGCGCCGGAGGCTGACGATCGGGCGCTGTTGACTCTGTGAAGAAGTGGGTTCCAGTCTGGGCTCTTTTGATCGTCGCAGTCATTGTGATTGACCAGAGTCTGTGAGCTGACATCGCTTGCGGTCTCTACGTGTTCCGTAGTGGCGCCTCCCGATATGCGTGAGAGGGTCGCTGCATGGTTCGCGGCAGAGTTCATGGTGGTGGACGTGCTTGGCTGACCCGAAGGAGGCTGTTCGGGGCCGATCACAGTGATCGAATCCGCACCTAGCGGACCCGGCCGTTGCGGACCTACGGCCTGCTTAGACTGCTTCTCAAGCTCCCAGTATCGGGCCTCGAGCTGATCTGTGTTCTTCATAGCTGCGAGGGCCAGCCGCTGAGTTGGCGTGGCATAATTGCTAGTGGTGCTTTTGAGCTCGTTGAACAGCGTCCGAAGCTCATTGGTGACTACATAACAAGGAGCACATGTTATGTTAGAACGGTTGTTTTTTAAACGAGGTCCCCGGGGGTGATTCTGTATTACAGGATGTGGACCGGGCGACTCACGTTGGTGCGCAACATATGCTTGCTTTGCACTAATTCCACGCTCCTCTGTGGTGACACGCCGCTGACTTCGGCTCTCTTCTGTATCCGGAAGCTTGTATTCATCGAAGTTCAAGACCAGGTCTCGGACTGGGTTTATGGTGAAAAAGTACTGTAGCATGCTGTTGAGATAGCAGGTGTTGCGGAGGTTGTCGAGGCCAGCGGGGAGGCTGGGATCGTTGGCTGGCTCGCTCGGGGATTCCAACTGCGGCATCTCCCCCATCATCATGCTAGCCAGGTTCGCAAGCACATCATTATTGAGGAATGTCCCAATCGTCTTCAGGGCCATGCCAGTGAGGAATTCGTTTTTGCCCTACGCCGTAGTCGGTAAGATCAGCACGGAGCCACCAGCAAAGATCTCGAGTCCCAACTTCTTGCTTACCTGCTCAACCTGACCCTGTGCAAGCGCCTGGGGCAGAGTTGGGTCCATGGACTTCAGCTGCTCTTGGTCCAGGGGAAGCTCGAGGCAGACCAGCGCCTCGTCGAGCTCCATGGGCTCCTTGACCACTTCCATGAGCTTTGGGCCCTCCGAGTGGTGGACTGAGATCTGCCGGAGCTCGCTTCGCAAGTCAAGTCGTTTGCGTGCAGCGACCTCCTTGCTGGGAGACATGGTCGAGTTCTGGACCTTATTCCTGTACTCGCCCAGAATCGCGCTGACCATCCTACTGTCCATAGAGCCCAAGCTTTCGTCATTAGAGCCTTGCGGCGCCTCGTTCAGTCCGCCCAGGGCACCAGTGCCCGCGATTTGCTCCCACTTCTCGCTTTCGAGAGTCGACTCCTCGGTGGCGATGAACATGTTGAGAGACTCTTCGTTGTGAGATGATGAGATCCTCTTAAGGGACTCGAGATAGACGATGCGACTAGAATGGTCCGGATCCGCACGGGTCTGGCATTCGTACGCGTACGCAAAGTATTTCCAAAGCGTGCGCTCCGTCAAGCCCAGGATTTCGTAGTCTTCGCGGTCCTTAGCCGACACTCGGAACGCCTTAGGATCGAGCTCGAGGAAACCGTCGAGTTGGTTGTTGCTGCAGTGCAATGCGTATCTGAGTTTCTCCAACGTGTTCGCGGAGACTTCTGGGTCTGATGTACTGTTGCCCCTCCTCAGGTTGTTAAGCTCATACAACACGTCCTGGAAGAACGACTGCCGTGAGGGAACCACCGCGGGATTCCTTGGCGGAGGGTCGTCATCTTGCAAGTTAGGGAGCCTCCAAAATTCGGATTCGGTGTCTGTTTCCTTCTCAAACCCCAAAAACTCAAACAAGCTGTTTCCGCTTTCCTCGGTGCCAAACTGAACTGCAAACTTGATGTTGCGAACGTTGATGCGCTGGGATCGGCGCTGATCCGGCGGCATCAGTGCGTCCGACAGATAGTGGTGCAGGTGTTTGGGGGCCAAGTTCTCGTCTGTTGCCTTTTGGAACCTCTCGGGGTTTGTTTCGATGCCTATCCGCAACCGTCTCTTCACCGCATCGTCGTCGGTGAGGCTCTTGGCATGCTCAGCTGGGAGACGTGGGAGCGAAACCTCGATAGCAACCCGAAAAGAGCATTCTAAGACAGAGCACATGTAGGCCGCGTGGCCGCAGCAGCAGAGGAATTTGACATCGCGTCCTCCATCTAATCGGCACGGCTCGAGGTCCATGGCGTTGATATGCGCGGGTACCATATGGTGCAACGGCTTGGCCGCATTGTTGTTGAACCTCCCGCAGAGCTTCCCAGTCGGGGCGGAGATGCGCAAGATGAAGTGGTGCAGGCAACGCTTGCACATGGTTGAGACTATGATGAGATAATGCTCGCCAGCTTGGCGCAGACCCGTGTCGACGCATTGCTCCGGTTTCACCACCAGATCGTGCGTGTGACCCAGCGAGAGACAACCGACATTGAAGCTGGGCTGCTCGTCACCGAGGCCACCAAGGAGGAAGTCGTCAATCCATTTGTGTGCCAGACGCCCTGGACCGAGACATATGCTCGCCGTCAGCTTGGTTAACGGGGCGCTAGACGCGGGGGAGAGCATACCGAATTTCTTAAGCGGGGGCGGGTTGGTGCTGACCGCGTTGGCCGCGGGCATGATGGGCGGGTTCATGGTACCCTGGGCAAGGTCAGTTAATGCCACGAGCACCATGCTGGCGAGATGGGCAAAACATAATATGGCTGTCAAAGTCTCTGGATGGAGGGGTGTTGGATAGGGAGATCCATGTGTTGGGCAGCCCGAGCGGAGCAGTGAGCTGCACCAAGAGAAGTGGGCCAAGCCCGCCTGGTGTCGGGTCACAGCAGAAGCCCAAGGCTGCAAGGGGCTTTACGGGAATTTGATGACCAGAGTACCAAGTTGGTACCTGGGTTTGGGATACAAAAATATTCAATTTTAAGGGGCAATTCAAGCTAGATGCGTGGCGTATATTTAGGGGATTTGTGAACAAAAAGGCATAAAGGGTAGATGGTTAAACATTAAGAGGGTGAGCAAACAAGGTGACAAGGGTTGTGGGTAGGTAGTTTCGTCAGGAGGGTTCATCAGAGGTCTGACGACGACAATGATGACGATGACAACGACGAGGCAGGGGTAGGAGCATCACCTGGTCCAGGAGCAGCTCGCATCCTCGTGACCTAGCGATCAAGAATGTATTGTGGGAAGATAGGTCCACTAGCTCAGAAATATTGGTCCTAGCAAATTGGAGGTGGCAGAGGTACCTAGGAAGACAGCAAGCAAACGGGACCCACATGAAGTCGAGAGATGCACGACGGCGGAAGTTGAGTGAGAACCGTGCAGCTAGGCCACCCGCGTTTCGTGCTGGGTTTTGTCACGCTATCCGGGTCTGGCAGAAAGCGATAGAATGGCGGGGTAACGACCGAGGCGACACAGTCTGGCGTGGTGTTTGGGTGCGTCTGCGTGCTGGCCAGCAAGCATACGTCGGCCGTCGGAACTCGCCTCAAAGGTGTCGAGTCGCGGTGGCGTTGGTGCGTCACCAGGCGGAGCTGACGCAGCCTCGTAGCCTCCCAACGTCTAGGTCTGCAGTGAACAATATCGGGTGGCTGCGCACCAGGATAGAGGTAATCTTGTAACAATCGAGAGGATGCTGGTCGCCAGCCCACTTGCCTAAACCCAGCCAGCACACATCCCAGCATCAAAGTCAGCACCAAGCAGAGGTGGAGATGGCGCTGACATAACATTCTTCCAATGCACGTGATGGCCTCGCTACAGAGCTTTTCGGGTCTCCATCACGACAAGCTCGCAAGCCAATCAGACAAATGCAATTGAAAGCTTGCCGACCCACTCGCTCGGTGCGTCTTTGCATCCGACCAAATTCGCTCCACTCGTACAGGCTCCTCCAGACCCAACCTATATCTCGCTGCTCGCCCCCTCGCAAAACTCAACCCACAAGACCCGAAATCTCCCTACCACGCACCCAATTGCGTGGCCAGCACCAACCGAGACAATATGGCTGGCGGACACGGCAGCGAGGGTGATGTCTATCACCCCCAGGATGCCGTCAAGAGCGGCATCACTGCCGCGCTCACCTACGGAGGCGTAGGCTTGTTCGCCTCGTCGATCCAGAGCGCCCTCCAGCGCCAGCCTGTCGGCTCCATGGCCGCCTTCACCCGCTTTGGCGGCAACATCGGCACCTTTGGTCAGTCGTGCCGCGCCCGTCCGTCGCATCACAATCCCACCCGCGCGTGACTGACACTGCGCCTTGCGCGACGCCCAACAGCCCTGGTTGGCGGGGTTTTCGCCTTCTCCAAGACCGCCTCGGCAAACCTGCGCCAGAAGGAGGACTCCTACAACACAGCGATCGGTGGCTTTCTCGGCGGCTCACTCCTGGGAATGCGGAGTACGACAAACCCTTCCTAATGCGCCAGCCTCCTACATCTTTCACGGCCAACGCGCCATTTTGCGACACATGGTTACTAACGTGACCTCCCGATAGGCATGCGGATGCCCAGGATCCTGGGATACGGAGCAGGAGTTTCCATCATCCTATCCGCTTTCGACTATACCGGTAATTCGCTGAGCGGATGGGGCAAGAACCCCACCGTGGATGATTACGAGCGCAAAGAGGTCTTGAGGAAGAACCGGAGGAGGCCACTCGAGGAGACGATCGCCGAAATTGGCGAGATCAGAGGTGAGTATATATTGATGTCTTGCGCATATATTCCCTGGGTCTCCCATGTTGACAGCATCCATCTACCTTTAGGTATCCAGCCTCCTGGCTACGAGGAGCGTCGTCGCCAGAGACTCAAGGAGAAGTATGGTGTCGAGATTAACCCCGTATGCGCAGACCCGAACCAGGCAGCCTCAAGCTGAGACATACTCCTGTTGTTTGTGGTCTTGCGTATACTGTATATATTTAGCGTTCAGTATCTGCCCCAGAGACGACCGCGAATGCCTCTCCCTGACGGTAGACTGGGAATTTAGCGGTACCAATGGTTGCCATCTCGGACAGTCCGGCTCTGTGGCTTGATATAAGCTCTCGCTTGACGCCCGCCGGCTGTTCCATCGTAACGGTATGTTACCCTCTGTTTTCTTCTCACTTGGTCGTCCCTTTCCATGATGATTGTTTAGAGGCTGTTTATGAATATCTTTGATTATAAACCAAACACTGTTCACCTTTTATCTGATATAACCTGGGGATCTTACATTTGCTTCAACACTTCGTTTTTGGTTTTTTCAGTTTGGAGCAAAAACGCTAACTAGCTATCAAGCTCTAGTGAATAACCCCTTGTCGTAGCCCATATTACCAGCTCTAAATTGAGCGTTTCCACGCCAGACATAGCGTCTACCCCGTGATACTGCTCTCGGCTTCTGTCCATAACCGAGCCTAAACTCCTCAAAGAAGAAAATCATAATGATTGTGCCATGTTTCCCATCTGTAGAGAGTCAACCCGATTTCTACAACGCCTTGACGGACTGGAAAAAGGGGTTCTGCAGGAGAGTGGCGTCTGCCGCAACCAATTCCTTCATCTTGGCGACCATCTGGTCCCTCGTCAGGCTTCCATCCTTGACTTCATCCTTCCATTTGACCAATATTTCCTTGAGACGTGCGCTGCCCTGCTCAACATCCTCTTTGCTATACTGCAGGCCGAGACTGTCGTGCTTGGCTGTGAAGTCTTCCAGCTCGTCCGCCTTCCTCTTGGCCATGCGCACGACCTTGTCCGGGAACCGCACCAGCTCGGCAACGTGAATGCCGAAGCTCTGGTCGCAAATCCCCGGCTCGACCTTGTAGAGCAGCGTCACTTCACGCTTCTCGTCCTCCTTTGCAGAAGCCGAGGTGCCGCTGATGTGCGCGGTGACGTGCAGGTTGTCGACCTGCTTGTGCTGATCCGCCAGCGCCGTGAGCTCGTGAAAGTGCGTGGCAAAAAGGGCCGCGCTTCCAATCTCGCGCACGATATGTTCCGAGATGGCCCAGGCGAGCCCGAAGCCGTCGTAGGTCGAGGTGCCGCGGCCGAGCTCGTCAATGATGATGAGCGAGTCCGCCGTCGCCGACTTCAGGATGTTGGCCGTCTCCAACATTTCCGCCATGAAGGTCGAGACACCCTTGAGCTGCGAGTCGCTCGCACCCACGCGCGCCAGAATGGCGTCGTACACCGTGATCTCGGCCTCGGCGCAGGGCACGAAGCAGCCGATCTGTGCCATTAGCGCAATCACGCCCACCTGGCGGATGTAGGTCGACTTTCCACCCATGTTGGGGCCAGTGATGATGAGAAACGACGAGCCCTGGCGATCGAGCTCCACGTCGTTTGTGATGAACTGGACATCATCCTGCATCTCCAGGCACGGGTGGCGGGCCTCCTTGAGCAGAGTTCGGCCCTCGCCGCGGGCATGAACCTTGGGCCGGACATATGATATCGGGGCGTGGACGGAGCAGTGCGCAAACGAGACAATGACGTCGAGGTGGGCGAGGACACCGCCCAGCCGCTCGAGGAGCGGTGCGTAGGAGGCAGCTACGCTAACAACCTCGTTCACCAGGCTCCCCTGTGTCCTGTCGTAGTTCTTGGAGAGCTGGTCGAACTCCCGGCGAAGAGACTGCAGGTGCTTGGTTGTGAAGTAAACTCCGTTCTTCTGGGTGGAGCACTCTTGATATCCGGACGTATTGCGTATGCAACCGGCCTCTGTCCTTGTCAGCCTCATGCACCAGCCGTGGACCTTGTGGTTCTCCAGGAAGATTTTCTTGTCCATCTCCTGCCCAAGATCATCTGCAGCCTTGGTGAACTCCTTATTCATATCGGACCGCAGCCGATCAAGTTTCTTCCTGATTATGCGAAGGCCGTCATCGAATTCGGGTTTGATGATGAATTCGTGATTGTCCAACGCATCGAGATCCACGGTGGTCTCGACCATCTCCTGCAGACGCACGAGGCTATCTGACAGCTCCCGCAGCTTGGTCGTGTAGGTCGCATCGATGGGGTCTCGATACACCTCGTCCATGACACCCTCGAGGGTACCGATGAAGCCCGGCAGGCGTATGACCACCTGATACGTCCTGACAACGTCTTCCAGGTTCGCCTTCTTCCTCTGGAAACGCTTGGCAAGCCTGTACAGGTCTGGGACGGACCTGAGATGCTCCTCCTGCATAGTCTGACGCAGCTCTGTGTCATTCATGAAGGCTTCCACTAGTTGCTGTCTCGACTCGATCTCCTCCTTGTTCATGAGTGGCTGCTTCAACCACTGGGAGAGGAGCCGACTTCCCACAGGGGTCTTGCAGTGGTTAAGTAGACCAAACAAGCTCATCGTCTTGGACCCGTCCCTAGCGCCGGGCATCAGGTTGAGCGCTTTGAGCGCGGCCGCGTCAAGCTTCATGAACTGCGACAGGTCGTGTTGAAAAAGTTGATACTGGCCAAAGTTGGAAGGATCCTGAAGCACGTTCAGATACTTGATCAGTGCAGAAGCAGCGCCCATGGCGAGCTTGAGGTCCGTCTGTGGCAGAAGGCTGGCTGACCTCTCGTCCTTGAGGAGCCTAGCCAGATCCTGCTCGATGTCTTTGGTGCCGAAATCGCTGACCGACCGCTCCGACATGGCGATACCGCAGCTGTCGATGATCTGCTTCAGTTTCGCGAGGTCCGGGTCCTTGTTGACATCGGCCTTGTCATGTTGTATAAGACACTCCTTGACGCCGAGCTGGATAAGGAGAGCCTCGAAGTTGGAGAAGAGATCGTTGTCTAGGAATTCGCTGACCCCGAGCTCGCGCACACTCGCGTCTGCGAAGCAGACACCGACGTTCCGGGCCTCGGAGGCCTTGGTAGATATTTTGATGGCAAGAATCATAGGCGCCGAGTCCGACTGTCCGAGCTCTTCTTCGACGTCCTGCAGGTTTCCGGGCGACGCTTGCTTCGCAACCTTCCAATTCATGCGACCGTTGGGGCTCTCGTAGATCTCCACCCTCTTTCCGAGCTTATGGAGGGCGTCTCGAAGGAACTGGCGGAACACTGTCATGGTCATGGTCACGGATGGCAGGCCAGTGTGATCGCTGCGGCCAAGATGCCTCACCACCGAGGTAGTTTTGTAGACCTATGGGTTATAACCAGCCCAGGTCAGTAACCATTTCAAACGAAAGCGTACCCTTAGAAATCAGACCAGCTTTTATCAGCGTACCGTCTGGGCAATGAAGGTAGCATCTTTGCCATGTGCTGTATACCAATCGCCCCGGTCGAATATTCGTATTGTGTCTTCGTGTGTGGAGGGCAGCGACTTGAAATATCGGATGAAGCCATGCTCGTCGTCCACCTTCAGCTCTGGTCGGGAGGACATGTCTGCGGATTGATGTGATAGTATGAGGGCCCGATATAGATTCCTCGACAACAGAGAGTAGGATCGAAACTCCACAATGCCGTTCTTTGTGGTCGGGCAATCGAAGGCGGCATCAAAATGTTGGATCCGGAAGGGCAGATGGGGACTTGGCTAGGAAACGCGTCGAACTAAACCAATTAAACCAAGACGCGACAGCACCCCAATTTCAGCTCCTGGGTGATGCGAGCTGGCCCACCAGACCCCTGTCAGGCCCGCCTGACATCCCGCCTCCGCGGGTCAGTGGGGCCAAAAAAAAGTTCTGACCCGTGCCACTGTTGCGCAACGACGTCAGCCCCAAGGATTCGAGCCAGAGTGAATCGAACCCAAGAGCCTTGGTGTACTTTGGTCTACCTACCACCTACCTGTTTGATGGAGCAATCGCTCTCTAAACAGGAGCTATGACAGACTCAGTTCCTATTCCCGAAATCCCTCCGACTGCGACAGCTCCAGACAGCGCCATCGATCCAGCACCTCAGATAACCCAGGCCCCGGAGGATTCCCCGAAACGCATGGGTGTTGACGGCGAGCAGAACCCGACCGAAAATGCAGGCGATGCTGCGCCAAGCGGCGAGCCAGCTCAGCCACCGATATCCAAGAGCCAGCAAAAGAAGCTGAAGCGCCAGCTCATGTGGGAAGAACGGAAGGACGACCGCAAGCGCCAGAGAAAGGAGAGGCGCCACCACCAGCAGGCCAAGAGGCGCGCGGTGAGGGCCGAGCGAGCCGCCGAACTCGAGGCAACGGGCCTGGACCCCAAGGCGGCGTTCCATGCGGCCAAGCCCCCTCGCCGGCCACCACCGCGGCAGGCGCCCGTCACCATAATCCTCGACTGCGACTTCGAGAAGTACATGTCGGAAAAAGAGCTCGTCTCGCTCTCGAGTCAAATCGTGCGCTCGTACTCGGACAACCGCGCCGCCTCGGTCCAAGCACACCTCGCCATCAGCTCATGGGGCGGCAAGCTGCGGGAGAGGTTCGAGACAGTATTGGCAAATTCTCATGAGAACTGGAAAGGCACCCGCTTTTCTGAGGCGGACTTTGTGGAGACGGGGAGGGAATCTCTCGAGATGATGAAAGGCCCCAAAGGTGGCATCCTAGTCGATAGCCTGCAGCCTCAGGTAGCGCCGACAGAAAAGTCGCCAGTGGAGGGAACAGTAGCCCCGCCAGCACAGGCCCCCATCACGAAAGATGCCCGGGACCCAACCCCAGTCACCGAAGCTGAGCCGGGCTGGCAAGGCCCATCAATAGTCTATCTGACGGCAGACTCTCCCTACACACTAGAGAGGCTGGAGCCAAACACGAGTTACGTGATTGGCGGCATCATTGACAGGAACCGGGAGAAGGGCCTGTGCTACAGGCGCGCCAGGGAGAGGGGCGTGCGCACGGCCAAACTGCCTATTGGCGAGTATATGGTCATGGCCAGCCGCAAGGTTCTAACGACCAACCAGGTTGTCGAAATCATGGTGAAGTGGCTAGAGCATGGCGACTGGAAGGTGGCCTTTCAACAAGCCATCCCCAAGAGGAAAGGCGGCGTGCTCAAGGGGGATGATCCAGACGCAGAAGATGTGGACGTAGATGAGCCAGATGATCTAGAAACCGGGGAGGGGTATGGCGATGAGGGCGAGAACGAGGGTGAGGACCAGGAGGACGACACGCCAGACAACGGTGTCATTGTTGGTAGAGAGGGGGATGATACCCAGTCGTGAGACATTGAAGATGCCGAACATAATAGGGGAACCCGATATAAAGAAGAACATAAAACAACCAAGTCCAGGAGAATATTCTGGCACGCAAATGTCCGAACAGCATACCAGGCTATATGTTCTAGAGCACTTTCCCAGCTATTCAACTGTACGCGGGTTCGTTTCCTCGTTTCCTAGACCTGAGATAAAACAAATCAATTGGAAACAAGATTCTAAACCCTAGTCCTCACGAGGGGAAGACGTTGGTGATAAATATAGTTATGGCTCACCAACTCAACCACTCAGTTTTCTTATGTGGCCTGCCCAAAAATCAACTACCACCCTTGCATGAGCAAAGAGTGGCGGCTGCCAGTGATGTAATATTCTGCTGTTGGGAGTATAGCTGGGCTGAAGCCGTGCTCCCAAAGGACATGCATGCACCATAATCAGGCCCCTATTCGTTAGAAAATTTATTCATTACAGGCCCGCGGTTTTGCTAAAAAAAAAAAAAAAGGTACCACCAGTCCTGTCGAAAACAACCAGGGAAATCTTGATCACCGACCTTCAAAATTCCATAGATTCGTCCTCGTCCCTTTCCCGCTTGACATTGGGGTCACGCTCGGCTTTCATTAGGGCCGAGACGAAGGCGCGGAACTGCTCGATGTATGGTTTCAAGCTCGTCTTCTCCCAGTCCTGAGTAGTTTTCCCCTGGCTCCCATCCGCGTCACTCTCGGGTGTCTTCCAGTCGTCAATCTCTTGCAACAGGCTCTGGACAGTTGGGACCTCAAGTGGGTCAAACTCTTCCAGATTCCGGGTGTCGATAGGCACGCAGACGCGACCAGTCCCCGGATGGACGACGAAAGGGCTTTTCAGCAGATGGTTGAGCTTCTTGCTGACCTCAATATCGAGACGCGGATAGGTATACTCTAGCACGATATCTTGCTTGGCCTCTAGCAGTGCCTTTGCGTCAAGGGCTCGCGATGCGCCCGTCTTTGCGACGGCGTCGATATCGGCCCATTTGGACGCCGATGACCTTCCCGGGGACGAGGCCCACTTTTTGCGCAGAGAGTCGTTCAGAGTCCTATCTGGGAGGAGCTGCAGTAGTTTCTCGGCCTGCTCATTCGTGTCCCAGGGGTTTTGATCCCGGAGCACATCCTCCTGGAAGTGAGTTTTCAGGATATCGAGGCTGCGTCTGTCGACGTTGAAGCAGTGATGAGTTAGTTCGGTAATCCATCATATCGAGAGTGTCCACCCGTTACCCCGAGAACTCAAAGTGGTCGATCAAGGTTCTCTACGGAATACTCACGTGAGATGTGGGTGAAGAGGTCTGCGGACGTTGACCTTTTTACCGCTCTGGGCACCACCACGGATGACTTCGAGGTAGCCCGCAATGGCGCGGCGCTTCTGGTCATCCATGGAGCGAACGTTCTTATCGCAGACCCAAGCGTGCGCACCTCGACGTCCTGAGTAGACCCACATGATGTGGCGGAAGCCAAAGTCTTCGCGCAGGGCCACATCGACCGTCTTGATGGCCATGGTCATGAACTTCCAGCAACGGTTGCAGATATTGGCCTTGTCGCAACATGTTCGGATCTCGTCGTAGTCCGTCAAATCGATATCGAAGCACAGCTCCTTCGTGAGAGGCTTGAATGCGGCCGAGTTGCGTAGCGTTTTGCGGTCGCGCGGGTTCGTGGTATAGACAGGCCCAATCTCGAAACGAGAAGGGTTCAACCGAAGCACGTCTTTTCGGAGGCTATTAACATGGCACAGGATCCGTCAGCACTCCTTGTGAGGATACTATAATGATTAGGAGGCTATTTGAGAATATGAGGGAGCTAACTGGTCGGATGTTGGGAAGGACTGGTATCGCAGGTACGCATCATTTTGCAGCGTGAAAGCAAACTCCCGATGCCCAAAGTCGTTTGTGGGGCTCGGGCTGTGGTTGAGCCATTGGTACAAGTACCGCCAGGGAAAAAGTCGCTGGTAGAAGCTCCGCATCACTTCGGGATCTGAGGCCTGCATAGAGGAAAAATGTCTACAACGCAAGTCAGCATTCTGCCGGGGGCATGGCTGGGGTCTATCTGGGCGTAAAGGACGAACATCGGAGAAGAAGGTGCCGGTTTCGGTGGGGGGCTCGACGGCTCTGCGGCCTTGACTGGGCGCGAGCTGCTGGGAAATTCGTCGTCGGAGTCGATATCTGAAAACATGTCCTGGAGCGCCACTTGCTGTGTTTCCTTCTTTGCTTCTGCGGACGCCGGCTCTTCTCGCTGCGGCGGCAAGGAATCTGCCTCGGCCATGGCGACATCGTCTTGCTGCGCCGGGTTTTCCCCGTTGACTGGCGCCATGGACTGAGCTGGAGAGTCTTGGGCTGCGTCAGGGGTCGGGCCCCCTTGAGATGTCGAATGAGGCATGCGCAAGAAAACAGGCGGTGTTCAGACAGAGAAAGAGTGTGGAAGCAGCTATGTTGCCTAGGGTAGCCCAATGCGCCGTTGTTAGTTAGCTGGGTTCTTGATGTTGTGTTCTGAAAGTTACCAGTTGTGGCGGTTTTGGGGTGGAGGGGTGATGTGAACTCGTCAAACATGCGCTGGACGCGTCGACGCGTAAAGTACTAGCTTACATCCTCAGTCCGTCCCGCTGGTCTGAGCGGTGATGGCTGGTACTGTACAGTTATGCAGCAAAAGTCTGTTCCACCTTCACAGTGCACCCGCCAAATAGCAAATTTTTAATTAATTTTTAAAATTCGCCGAAAAATGCTACAAATAAAAGGAAATAAACAATTAATTTTAAATAACACCAGCTAAGCAAAATATTAATCTTATTAAAAAATAATATTTTTATGTTAAGTACTTGCAAAACAAAAAACCATTTATTTTTTGTTACAATGCAAATCCAATTTTAGTATGGCGGTATACAGTGCGAACTGGTTTTAAAATTGGAGGTAAAAAGAAATTATTTATACGCTTTAATTAAATGCAAAAACTTAGATTTGTTATTTTTATTAGATATAAAATACTTATATGTATTTAGTAAACTTTTTACTGAACTTGTAGTATTTTCCGTTGATTTGTAATGGTTTTAAAAAAAGTGCGTGTTTTTGCGCTTAACTATGGTGCACTGTGCACCTGGGAACGGACTTTTGCTGCATGACTGTATGTAGTTGGGTGGGGGCCGGGGTGGGGATTGGCTGGCCGGAATCTTGGAGTGATTATGGAAGCCAGATGCATCCGACATTCTGGCGAAATTCTGCCGACGGAATACACCCCGACCAGGTTCCCCCTGGCGACTTGGCAAGCACTCCATGTGATATTCTTTGTGTTTGGCTCTTGCAGTGCTGAAGAGAGTCTGTTTAATGAGGCGACGGATAACGATGGTAAGGCCCTGGGGATGATTTCTCAGTCGCTTGGCGGTGAGGGCCAGTCTCGTGCACAATGCGTCTGCTGAGCCCGGCCGCCCTCCCCTGTTTTCACTCTTGCGATTTTCGAGGGCGAGCAGCTACGCCCGCGCCGATTTGTTCAATTCGTTGGCAGGGACAGCTGGAGCGGCCAATACGCCGACCCCGGGCGTCCAAGCTCCAAAAACCCACCAACACAATCCTTGTCAACGTCATTGAAACCGGGGACGACCAGCTTTCCGCATCGACGTATCCTAACCGAGCTTGGAGCAGCCCCTAACGACGGTGCGAGGCTTCGTCTGCGACAAGTCACCTTCGCCGTGCTAGGTTCCTCTCAGGCTACCTCTGTGCTGTCGTTGCTCCCACGCTGCGTGCAAATGGCTCCTCTCAGACTCACGATCAAGGACGGCGGCTTCCTTGACCGGCAAGGCCGCCAGATCGTCCTTCGAGGCATAAACGTTGCAGCCGACGCAAAGTACCCAAGCAAGCCAAACCAGCCGGCACAAGTCGCTGAGGATTTCTTCGACGGCGACCATGTCAACTTCCACGAGCGCCCGTTTCCCAAGGACGATGCTCACGTCCACTTCGCCCGCCTGAAGCGCTACGGCTACAACACCATTCGCTATATCTTCACCTGGGAGGCCATTGAGGCCGCGGGGCCCGGCATCTATGATGAGGAGTGGATCCAGCACACCATCGACATACTCAGGATAGCCAAGAGCTATGGCTTCCACGTCTTCATGGACCCTCATCAGGATGTCGTAAGTCGTGCCAGTGATGTTCTTCCCGCCGTTCTTTGCACTTTTCATGCTCAGGCTAACTTCTCTTTGTATTCGCTTGCGCCCTGTAGTGGTCTCGCTTCTCGGGTGGCTCTGGAGCGCCCCTATGGACTCTCTACGCGGCCGGCCTCAACCCACAGAGCTTCGCCGCGACCGAAGCTGCCCTCGTGCAGAACACCTACCCCGACCCGGCCAACTTCCCCAAGATGATCTGGTCGACAAACTACTACCGACTCGCCGCCGCCACAATGTTTACGCTGTTCTTTGCCGGCAGGGACTTTGCCCCCAAGTGCATCATAGACGGCCAGAATATACAGGACTATCTGCAGGGGCATTTCTTCGGGGCTATCTCACGCCTTGCGCAGCGCATTCACGAGGCTGGGGACATCGAGGACGAAGTGGTGTTCGGCTGGGAGACGCTCAACGAGCCGAACAAAGGCATGATTGCATACGAGGACATCAGCGTCATCCCCAAGGAGCAAGCCCTGAAGAAGGGGACGAGCCCCACCATCTGGCAGGCCATGCTCACGGGAATGGGGAGAGCCTGCGAGGTCGACAGCTGGGACATGGGTAACATGGGCCCGTACAAGGTCGGGAGAACACTGGTGGATCCTCACGGGGAGATCGCTTGGCTCCCGGCCGACTACGACGAGTCGCGCTACAACTACAAAAGAGATCCAGGTTGGAAGCTGGGCGAGTGCATCTGGGCCCAGCACGGCGTCTGGGATCCGTCCACCGACACTCTTCTCCGTAAAGACTACTTCCACAAGAGTCCGAGCACCGGGGAGACGCTCGACTACGAAGTCTTCACCAACACATATTTTATGCAATATGTTCGCAAGTATCGGGATACGTTCCGCGCCTATCACAAGGACGCCGTTTTGCTCCTCCAGCCGCCCACCTTGGAGCTGCCACCGAGGATCAAGGGCACAGCGGATGACGAGAACAACATGATCTACGCGCCTCACTATTACGACGGTATTACGCTCATGACAAAGAGCTGGAAGTGGTGGAATGTCGATGTACTGGGAGTGCTGCGGGGGCGCTATATCAGTCCGGTCTTTGCCATCAGGCTGGGCGAGACGGCCGTGCGGAATTGTTTCAGGGAACAGCTGGCTGCCATGCGAAAGGAGGGGTTGGACTACATGGGCAATCACCCCTGCGTTCTGACCGAATTCGGCATCCCCTACGACATGGACCAGAAGGCGGCTTACAAGACAGGGAACTACTCGAGCCAGTCTGCCGCCATGGACGCAAACCACTTTGCTGTGGAGATGGCGCCAATGGAGGGCTATACCTTATGGGTTTACTGCGCAAAGGTGAGAAGATACCGTCTGGACCACGTTCCCTCGGGATGGGTGCCCTGTTGCAACCTGCCGTTCTGTTCACTGTATCGCTAACACATGTTGCTACGTCAGAACGACCACGAATGGGGTGACCAATGGAACGGCGAGGACCTGTCGATCTACTCGTTGGACGACAAGCAACTCCCCGTCTCCCCTCTGCCGCCCTCGCTGGAGATGGCACAGCAATCAACAACAAGTCTGGCGAAAATCAACACTTCGGCCTCGGGCCAGCAGCAAGGACAGGACTCGCTGATCGAGGATGGGTCAACGGTCACGCCAACTAACCTCCGGCGAGCGCTGACCACGCCATCGATATCTTCTGCGAACCCACAAGGGGTGACATCGCCAGAGCTGACCAACGCGCCTGGTTATCGGGCGGCCGAGGCATTTGTGCGTCCTTCGCCAGTGGCCGTCGCCGGCAGCATCGCGAGCTACGTGTTTGATTTGCGCCGATGCGAGTTCAAGCTTGACGTCCGGGCGTCGAAGCTACCACCCTCGAGCAGCGACGACGACGACGGCGGCAACAGCGGTGGATCGCCACCAACCGTGGTGTTTCTGCCCGACTACCACTTCCCCAAGGACGCATGCACGATTGAGGTCAGCTCAGGTAAGTGGGAGATCAGCACGGACGACTCGGAGGGTGCCTTGGTGCAGCGGCTCCGCTGGTGGCACGCTGAAGGAGAGCAGAGCCTGAAGGTGACGGGCGTTGTACGAACGCACAACGTGGGCGAGTACGGGCCCGGCGGTGGCGAGGAAGACCCGGGTTATTATCAAACGGTGCAGAACATTTTCGGACAGTGCACCATGATGTAGACGGACGGCAGGCGCGCGCTGTGTCTGGCCTCGTGGCCTCGTGGTGGCATCTTGGCTTCCCCCATGTTTGTTTGATCTTTTTGTCACTGTTTTTGTTTTCGTCATGCGGACGGATGCCCGTTTGATCGAACAGCGTCCCGGGCTTCGGCAAATAATATTTACCCCGAACCATGAAAGCGTTTGGCTATTGGATGGAGCATTCTTTCTCAACATATGCGGATAGGTATCCTCTATCGTCACGGCTTTGTGGGGACTAGGCTGGTCATGACAGCATCCCCCAGTGTATTAGACAGGATGAACCCTGAACCCATGAGATCTGCTAGACGGATCGGATGAGACCGACCTGAGCCTTTGCCAGAACAGCTCAACGTCATTAAACGTCTTGTGCAGTTGATTAGTTAGGATGACAGCGTTTCATGGCCTCGGCGCAGGACAGGCGTCGCCTGGATGAAGGCACGTCCGCTGGATGCCGAGGACTCGGCGACGATCCAATCTCCGCAGCGTGCGCGTAAGGCACGGAACGACGGACGGGTCGGCGGCGTCATCAAGATGGCAAGACAGGGGTCCGGATGGGCCCTGCCACTCCACCCCCCGGCTCCCTGCCCGCGTGCACTTGCGACGGGGCTGACTCCGTCTCTAATGAACCTAGGGATCAGTCGGTCCTCGGCTGGCCGGGTTTACGAGCAAGGACGGGCCACCTAGGCCAGGCGTCGGCGGGGCCGAGCTGGGTTGGTGGACACACGCGTTCGGCAAGCGACAAGGCTGGGTTTTTTTTTCTTCCTCCTCTCATTCCTGTATACCTAGCAGCTGACCTCGCAGCCGCGCAGCCCAGCTCGGACTCTCACGTCACCAATGTTGTGGGCAGCGAAGGGCTTCGACTACGCCGCATGGGAGTCGGCAGCCGCTAGCTTACCGGGGCGTGGAGGTTAGGTCGGGTCAGGTCAAAGTTGGGCACAAAAAGAAAAGACGCCAGCACCTTTCGATTCCAGCGCGCGGAAAGGCCTGTGCGTGAGTTCAGGGGTCTGCTCGCTCTCTCCATCCTTTCCGACCCTGAAGTTCGCTGAGTCGTGCTCGCTGCCACTGGGGATGCGAAACACGCCTGCCCCCCGGCTAGGACGCGAACTCCTAGACCACTCGCATATGGGAGGACGTTGCTTTCAACACAGGAAAAATAAATCCTAGCATCTGGTTAGGGTTTTCGGAATGGCGACTCGGGGGTGCAGGCGAGCGTCCCGAGGGGGTGGTGGCGAGAAGGTACCGAGGTACTAGCCTGCCAGCTTGGGTGTGGGTGACAGCCGATTTGGATTTTGATAACCAGAACAGCATGGGGAGGCTGCACTTGGAGACCCTGCCTGTCACATTAAAAAGTACAAATTCACTGGGCAAAAGGAGTGTAACATGCAGCTTTGTTGTCGGGTGTTTTTGAGTTTTTGTAACAGCCGTGTTCTCTGCTCCTTTCCTGCTGGTTGTTGGTCGCAACATCACACCAATGGCTACTTGCTTAGTGTCGTTGGCATTGTATGTGCTGTGAAATGATTGGATGCCTGTCCTCCCAAAGGCCTTGCCAGTCGGGAGACCCAGTCTGGCCGGCCGTAGATGCGCCTCCAATCGGCCCCAGATAGCCCACGCTAACCGGGATTGTGCAGTTCGTGCCGGCTAGCGCTGTACATGAGGTTGGTGGATATGGCTTTTCTTTTTGTTGCCGCCGTCGCCGACTCAAGTTGCCTGCAGTTCCTGCCTGCCTGTCTACCACGGCTAGGAATCCCTGCATGCACCGGGCGTCCGTTGTGGGCTGCTGGCAGCACAGGTACCTGCCACCAACTGAAAAAAAAAAATCCGAACCGCAAAATGCTTTTCCCCACCCAAGCTCTATTTTTTTCGACAAAAATAAAAAGCGAAGGTAAAATGACTGCCCATTAACTTGCATATAAATTATAGTTATTGCTTTTTTTTTTTTTTGGTGGTGTTAATTGGCTTTGAAATGGGAGCCCCTTTTTTGCGGTTCGGATTTTTTTTTTTTTTTTTAGTTGGTGCCTGCCTACCTGTACGTGCATGCTGGCTAACCTGGGCCATTCCGCGAGTTGCTGTGTTTTCTCTGTCTTTTTCTGGTCTTTTCCCCTGGCTGAGATTCTGCTTGGGGGCTGTCCTAAGCACGGTAGCGGCAAGTATGGTGGAGAGGGACAGGAGCTTGTTCGGTCTCGGCATCATCACTTGCTTCCGATTTGTGTATTTTGCATCCTGCCAGCTCCTTTGGGCGTTCTAGTTGAGGCTCGGCGCTCTAGTGCGTGCCGCAAGCGCCTCTTGGGTGGGCAACGCTCGGGTACTGAGCCCAGCCCAGAATGGAAGAAGAATCCCCAGCGCGCAGCAGAGGGGAAAACTCCACATGTGCCTAAGAGGCCTGGATTAAGCGCCAACCGCCCAACATCACCTGCGCTCCCGCTGTTCTTTGGCAGGTATCATCCTTTGTCCTGCACTCCACGGCACCTCATCCATGCCGTAGGTTATCGTCTCGTGTTTGCGCGCATGGGACTGGCCCACTATGCCTATTGCTGCCGCTCGTCTGATGAGCCTCTGATGTTTTCGGCCGTCTGCCGCGAGAGCATCACAGCCAGTTCCTTGCATACCGCTGTGCCGCCTCAGGTTCATCCCCTGTGCGTTCCGCAAGCGCCTGGCTCGTGTTGGGCAGCCCACCCCACCGTTTCTGTTTCAATGCCAAGGCGCCCCTCCCTCGCCGCCGCTACGTCCACCCGACGCTAGCGTCGCGTCGCACCATGCCCACCTGTGCAGCCCACCAGCTCAACCCAACCCACAGCGACAATTGATTTTGCCGTGTCTCGCAAAGAGTGGCGGCCTGAAGAAAACGCCTGCCATCCGCCGTTGGCCAACAACACCGGATTCTTTGCCTGCTTTTGCGCCTTTCTTTGCCAGCGCAGGCCGCACATATTGCTCCCGACGCCAACCAGCGCCCCTCGTTGAACCTCCCGCCTCTTCAGCCGCCTCGCACCCCAGCCTTGCGACTACCGCTGTCCGTCCGTGGCCCTGCCCAACTCACTGCCGTCGGCACTTCTCGCCCCTCGGTTCGCCATCGCTGCCCTCAATCATTCGACACACCCCTGAGCCAGCGCCCGTCGAAATCGCATCAGCCAACCGCTTCCGAACGACCCTCCCGCGAAAGCCGAGCCGGGCCCAGAAATACACACCGCAAATACACCTCCCCAAGCCCACCGCGAGCCATTGCCACGACCGGCCGTCTTCGTCCAGGGCTGGGTCCCAGAACCCATGCGGCTTCGCACCGGCGCTACCAGCCGCAGAGCCCATTGGGGCTGACATTGGGCCGCGTCGCCCTTGACCGCCGACCCGAGCCTCGTACTCCTCTCGATAAACCGCCCCGAGCGGCCATTGTTGGCCCGCCATGTATCAAACGGGGCAGAAGGACCCTTCGCGGCCCTTCCAGGTGCCTCCGCCGCCGCCGCCCATGTCGCCGCCGAATCCCGGGATGCAGGGCCACATGAACTTCCCGCCGCCCCCTCCGCTGCCCCGGTACCAGACCGCCCCTCTGATGCAGCAGGGCAACCCGCTGCCGCCACCTCCCGGGCCTCCCCCGGGCAGCGCCATGACCCAACAGGCCCCGTGGCATGGCTCCTGGGGCGTCGCCGCCGCCGCCCGTCCGCAATACGACAACCGGGGCAATCACATGTTCCCCCCGCCACCTCCCCAGCAGTACAACCCCCAGGCCCATGCGAACGCTAACGGCATGATGATCCCGCCCCCGCCCCCGCAGAGCGATCTCACCATGTCTGCTACCTACATGCCTGGCGGCGACTCGTTTGGAGAGGACGTTGGTATCCCGGGGCTGGGGGGCTTCCCCGTCGATGCGCAGGCATTGGCGGCCATCCAGTCCAGTTGGCAGACCCCAACGTCGGGGCAGCCGAGTGATAGTCTGCAAATACAACAACAGCAGCAACAGCAGCAGCAACAGCTACAGCTCCAGCAGCAACAACAACAGCAGCAGCAGCAGCAGCAGCAGCAGCAGCAGCAGCAGCAGCCGCAGCAACAATTTTCAAACACGCCGCAGCTGAACAAATCCCCGGACGAGCAAAAGCTCTACTCAGGCTTATCTAATGCATCAACCAGCACCAACGTGCCGGGTATTCCGAGCGACATGACAGCATCGTGGACTCTCGACCGCGTCCTGGGCTGGCTACAGGTTAATGACTTTTCCAAGGACTGGCAGGACACGTTCAAAGCCCTCAACATCCACGGGGCCCAGTTTCTTGAGCTCGGGAGCGGCCATGGTGGGCGTGGGAACTTTGGCATGATGCATCAGCAAGTCTACCCAAACCTCGCCAAGGTCTGTACGGCCAGTGGCACGGGCTGGGACCAGCCACGAGAGCGTGAGGAGGGCAAGCGGATGAGGCGCCTGATCCGCAACTTGGTTCAGATGCGCGCCACTCCCGAGACTTCGCGAATGCCCGGTCGCCAGGAGTCGGGCTCTATGCGCCTTGATGTCAATGGCGGGGGGACGGATGGCAGCGACTCGCCGAATGTAAGATCCCGATTTGTTTCCAGCCGTAGCAGTGTCTACTTCGTTGGCTTGTGGATCCTGTTCGCTCCGTTTTCTCTTCTTCGCCTTTTCCCCCCTGCGATCCCACATATTCCCAGGGGAGGTTCTCTTGGGCTAATGATCGTTGTTCCTTGATCAACGCGCTTATCTAGACTCCTATCATCAAAGCTCCAGGCCCAGGCTTCTCGGGCCGACGGTTTTCACAGACTAGATCCACCACGATGCCCACGTCCAGCGGCAACACCGCAGGTATGGATGCTAATCACAGAGCAATGCTGAAAAATATCGATGTGGATGGAAGTCGGCGCAACAGCCCAGGACTCAACGGGCAGAGCCCGAACGGCAGCCCGAACCTCGGCTTCGCGTCCTCGACGCCAAATCTGCCGGCCTTGTCGGTCTCCCCCAGCAGCACTCGGTTCGGGCACCGCTCCAGGAATAGCACCGAGTCTGTGTCTTCCAGCGCAGCCATCTATGGTTCGGGCGTGCCTGTCGAAGCCACTAATATAATGCGCAATGGAAACATTGACGAGCTGCTAAACACCAGCCGCCGCCAGGGCCAGGATGGAAATCGGCCATCACCCCAGGAGCCTGGGGATAGGTCAGCCGGCGCCGACACACCACACAGCGCCAAGGACGGGAAGCACATGTTCTCCTTCTTATCCAGGAAAAAGAGACAAAACCACGACGGCTCATTCCCTTCGCCCGAGGACATGGATTCACCTACCAGCCCCAACCTCAGTATCAAGCATCCTGGCAAATGGAACAACTCCAGCGACATGTCGCTCGATCAGCGCCCAAGCTCCAGTTTCGCCCAGCAGCCGCCACCGCACGCGCCATCTTTCCTCCAGTTCAAGAAGCCCGGCAACAGGATCTTTGCTCTGGCGACGGTCGACTACTGGAACTACCGTATGATTGACGTGTCGGATGTGGATACTGCCTTCGACCTGAGGTCACTGATAAACGTGAATCTTGGCATTCCGGACGAGGACGGGGTCGAGATCCACCTCACGGAGCTGGGAAAATCGGATCACAACCAACCCCTGACTGATGACAAGCTGATGACCAACATGAGAATGAAGGCCGACTCTGACGGCACCCTGAAACTTTTCATCAGGGGCCCTACATTCGCAACCCCGGCGCTGTCTCAGCGCTCGACGCTGTCGCCGTGGGCTATGCCCTCGAGTGTTCCTGTCGATGAGGACGGATACGGACAGGCGGATGGCCAGCGGCCGAGATCCAGTTCGTCGCCGCCGACATCACGGCACAACACCATAAGCGGTGGGGGCTCCGACTCCAGCGAAGCCCTGGCGGCGGCCGCAGAGAAGTACCAAGCCGAGGTGCAAAGGAAACAGCAGGAATACTTGGAGAAACGAAGGCAAGCAGCCTCTAGTGGGAAGCCGGGGCTGAGTCCTTCAACCGAGGCGGCCACTTACGGTATCATTGGCAGGAATGTTGACTTTGACCAACGCCGTGACTCTCCCTACGAGGATAAAAGTCCCGAGAAGCTCTTCCCTCAGCGCAAGGCGCCCGCACCGCCGGGAGACCCCTCGGCGACTCTCCTCAAAGCCAATTCGCTCAGCAGGAAGACGGGGCAGAGGATGCACTCGGTGCATGGGAGCCATGATGGGTATCCGACCCCACGCAGACCTTCGACGTCTACGAACATGTCGGCGTCGGGGGCGCCGGGCGTCTCCCCTGCCACGTCGCCATCGGAGATGTCGGAGATGGGTCGCAAGAGGTCGCCAATGACATCAGGACAGCCATCGGGCGGCATCGCCTCGGCATTAGTCGACATGGGAAGGGGGCTGGGTGGAATCGGCCACCCTACCAGGGGACCAGCAAAGAACAGCAGCGGCCGCGCGCTGTCTCCCAACCGCATCGCATCGGCACCAGGGCCTGGTGGTGGAGATTCTCGAGGTAAGAACGCCTTGGCGACGGTGGACTTCGGGCAGCACGGGCGAACAGCTTCGCGGCCAGGCAGCCCACGCTCAGGATCCCCCGGCTCCGTTACCTGGGGCCGGGGAAAACTCCCATTCATCGTGCCGGACTACTCGCCCGGCGGAACCCCGCTGCTGCCCAGGGACAAGCCGGCGGCAGGCACGACCCTGGAGACAGGAGCACTGGAGGAGGATCCCTTGGCTAAACCGACTTCACTAGCTTCCTTTGCGCGTTCCTCTTCTCCGGGAGACCTCAGCCCCGGATCAAGGCCCTCGGCCAACTTCGCCGCGGACCCGCCGACGCCTCGCGGGGCCCGCGCGCCGTCCACACGCGCCCCGGTGTCGGCTCCTCATCCGGCGTCATCGTCTCCGGCCTCAAGGAGAAAGTCCCACGGACCCGACGTCGACTTTACCGATACCGACGTCAGCTTCACTCGGCCGACCCCATCCTCGAGCTCACAGAACCACGCGCAACCGGACGACAATTCTGACGACGATTCCGACGACGGCCTCTTTGCCATCCCCATCTCCCAGCCCGTCGAGCCAACCAAGAGCAAGCGGAAGACACGGAACTCAGTCGCGTTCCTCGATTCCGACTCGGGAGAGGACGGAAGCGCACTTGGTAAGCGGCCCAGCCTGACGGTAAACACCAGCAAGAGCCGGAAGCACCTTTCCGTCTCCTTCACGTCGCCAAAGTCTGCTGCCGGCCAAGACAGGGACGATGACAGGGCAGGGAGGAACTCCAAGTGGGAGGCGGAGGAGGGCGGTGGGCTCAGCCGGCGCAAGTCGTTCAAGATGGACGTCTGGGCAAATCGCCCGCCTGCCGAGGCGCTTATCAACAACCTGGAGGACTTCTTCCCGGGCATGGACGTGGACCAGCCGGTGCTCGAGGAGGGCGAGGCGGATGCGGACCAGGACGCGGCACCCGTTGCACCCTCACCCATCATTGAAGTGGACGAGTCGCAGTCGCCCAATATGGCGTCGCAGCAGACCCGCCACGGCAACCTGGCAGCTCTCCCCACCTCCAGGGTGCCGTCCATGTACAGCGAGAGCGACACTCTGGGATCGGACGAGTCGACGCTCAAGGCTTTGGAACGGCCGGCGAGCTACCAGAACCTGGCGCAGCGCAGCGTGCGGCGATCTGGTGGGCTGGGACGGATGAAGTCGATCCGCGAGAAGGCTAGGGGCGCTCACGAGGCGAACAAACGGTTCACGCAGACGTCGCAGGCGATGCTGGGGTCCTCGTCGGCGGCGGCGGGTCAGGCCAGCGCTGGCGGAGGGTCGTCGACGCTGTTGCGACGCAAGTCGACCAAGATGTTCAACGCCAACATTGTGCAGATCCGGCCGACGCGGGACTCGATGCTGGTGCCCGAGATACCGCAGGACACGCTCTCGCGCGCGCCCAAGCGGCAGACGACGTTCCGGTGGTTCAAGGGCCAGCTGATCGGCAAGGGAACGTACGGCCGTGTGTACCTCGGTATGAACGCGACGACGGGCGAGTTCCTGGCTGTGAAGGAGGTCGAGGTGAACCCCAAGGCGGCGGCGGGCGACAAGAAGCGCATGAAGGAGCTGGTGGCGGCGCTGGACCAGGAGATCGACACGATGCAGCACCTGGACCACGTCAACATTGTGCAGTACCTGGGATGCGAGCGCAAGGAGACGAGTATCTCAATCTTCCTCGAGTACATTTCGGGTGGCTCCATCGGCTCGTGTCTGCGCAAGAACGGCAAGTTCGAGGAGGCAGTGGTGCAGTCGCTGACGCGGCAGACGCTGTCGGGGCTGGCATACCTGCACCGCGAGGGCATCCTGCACCGAGACCTCAAGGCCGACAACATCCTGCTCGACGTCGACGGCACCGCCAAGATCTCCGACTTTGGCATCTCCAAGAAGACAGACAACATCTACGGTAACGACAAGACCAACTCGATGCAGGGCTCCGTCTTCTGGATGGCGCCCGAGGTCATCCGGTCCGAGGGCGCGGGCTACTCGGCCAAGGTGGATATCTGGTCGCTCGGCTGCGTCGTGCTCGAGATGTTTGCGGGTCGCCGTCCGTGGGCCAAGGAGGAGGCCGTCGGTGCCATCTACAAGATCGCCAACGGCGAGATCCCGCCCATTCCCGAGGACGTTCAGCACACCATTGGCCCCACTGCCGTCGCCTTTATGTACGACTGCTTCACAGTGTAAGTCTTGGGCGGTAGCCCTCTCTCTCTTTTCTTCCATGTGTGCTCGTTAACTGATGTTTGTCATAGAAACCCCGACGAGCGACCCACGGCGAACCGACTGCTTTCGCAACATCCCTTCTGCGAGCTGGACCCCAACTACAACTTCCTCGACTCGGAACTCTACGCCAAGATCAGGGGGACGTACTGATTCGATCCAGGCCGCGTCGCAAACGAATTCCCTCCCATATGAGACCATCTACGCAACATCTTGACTACCCTAATGGTGTGCGCGCACATGGTGAATTTCGCTGCCGCAGCCCGAAGAAGAGGGATTTGCACCGTATCTCACCTGTAACAAGGACACTACAGTGTCCCCTAGTGACTCCTGGGACTACTCTTCTTTTTACCATACTCTTACTACTGCCACATATTTCTATTACTAGATACTGCTCAAGACAGTCTGGGTTCATGTCTTGTGCTGTTCAAGATGGCCGGATTCATTTCAAGGAGACACGGGAAAATTGGACGAGCACGCGGGCCACATTTCATCACCATGAAGCGAATTCAACGCCGCATCTTTGCAGACATGCCTTGTCGAGCCATAGCGTTGCTGTTTTGCTATTGTCTAAACCCAAAGTTTTTGGAAACGTTCTGGATTTTCCACGTTTGTAGTGACTGTCCTATTTACAAAATCATTATCGCGCCGTCCTATGTACATGCGATGATGGCCTCGCGCCCCCCTCGGACCCCACTTCCCCAGCCCTCCCTTCACTTCACGTCGGGCGTTTAAACGGATGGGCCTCGGTATTGAGGACCCAGTCGTCGAGACTGATGACGTCGGGGGTAGTGTAGAGCAGGTAAAAGTACTTTAGCGTCTCGGCCATCCAGAAACTCTCCATGTTGTTGAGATGGGACGGGGGGCTGGTGGGGCTGTGCACGTTGTCGACGGCGCTGTGGCCGTGCTCGGTCTGCGTCGCCCGGATGACGGCCTTGAACATGCGCCAGCCCTTTTCCTGCCACTTCTTGTCGCCCGTGATGCGGTACATGTACCAGACCGACTCGATGGCCTCGGGTCTATATTTTTTTTCATAGGTAATCGCGTGTTAGAGGGTGTTGCGTTGACGGTAGTATCCAAGAGCAGGAAGGAAATGCCCAGATTTTGTAGCCGAGCGCATGTACTTACCGGAGGATATAGCGCCTGTCGTTCATGCCAGTGTACCCTGGCGGCAGGTTCTCCTGCTTGATGCGGTAACGGACGTACTCTTCGTGCGTCTGGGGCTTGGTCGGCTCCGGCGGCAGCTCCCAGAGGGGGTCGTAGGGGGGCTCTGGCTCTTCGGCGCCAGCCAGTGGCGACTGGGCACCATCCCTACCGGCACCGGCTCCGTCCAGGATGCTGGCGCCGGGCTGGCCTGTCTTGGGCTTGTCCTCTGTAGATGACGGGGGCGCCGGCGCCGGCGCAGGTACCAGGGAATCGTCGTACCTGCCGGCGTGAGAGGGCGGCGACCGCCTCAGCTTCTCCTTGCCCGACTTCTTCAGCACGGCCTTGCCCTGGCTGTAGGTGAAGTCGTCGCTGTCCAGCTGCTGGCGCGGCCGGCCCGCGTTCTGGCCGTCTGCGTCGGCGTCGTCGTCGAAGCGACCCAACGGATCGCTCGAGTTGGTGGGCCGTGAGCGTTTGGCCTCCTTTTCGGCCTTGACGCGCAGAGCCTCGGCTTTGAGGAGGGACGCCTTTTGATCATCCCACTCCTTCTTGCGGATCTCGTAGTCCTTGGCCATGTTGTCGCGCCACTGAGAGCTCGGGTCCAGGTGCTCGTACCAGACCGTCTCGTTCCAGGGGCAGCTGGCGACCGTCTGGCAGGGCACCATGGCGCCGCCCTCGGGCATCAGGCCGGACGGGGTCGACTCGTAGGCCCACACGCACCCGTCGGTCAGCCGGGCGCCGATCTCTACGTCCTCGGCCGAGCCGAAGACGCGGCCGCCGAGCGCAAACATGCCGCCCAGGAAGCACGTCAGGTGCGTCACCTCGTACGTGTACGACTTGTCGACGCCTCTCTGCGAGCTCGCATAAACGCTCGCCGAAAATAGTAGCGACCGGTCCTCATCCTTTATCATGGGCCTGTAGAGAAGGTACTTTTTGACGGCCGCTACAACCTTGAGGTGCATCGACTTGTACTTGGGCTCGAGCCCGCCCAGGAGTATGTACTGCTTGGGGAAATACTCGTAGGTCGAGTCCTGGCTACCGCCCATGCCGAAGGAACCAGACCCGTAGCCTCCGTCTGTCAGGCCCTGCGGCGTGCAGTCCCAGTCTGGAAGACGGTTGCTGGCGCCATAGGGGCCCGACGCGCCTCCACGGCCGCTGGCGCCAACGCGGTCTGCGTGGACGGTGGCGGGCTTCGCCTTGGGGACGCTCGGGGGCGTATCGTCGGCGCCATCTAGCCCCTGTATCACCCGGCGTGCTTCGAGCTTCTTCTCCGCTGGCTTCTCCTTGAACTCGGCCTTGGCCACTGAGCCTGGCTTATCCCCAGGGTGAACTTTGAATTGGGGGTCCCCGTCGGAGATGACGCTCTTGCTCTTCTCGCCCGAATTATTGGTTTCCGGGGAGTCGTTGGGCGAATATCCCTTACTCGCATCCAAAGTCACCTCTGCACCGTCAGCCTCAACGGAGCTGAGATCTAGGCTCGTCAAGGACGGGGCGGTGCGGTTGCAGCCAGCGGCGTCAACCTGCTGGGGGAAGATGCCGTTGAGCACTGTCCCGCGGTTCTGCCACTCCTCGAAGGCGTTGGTGATACGAGCGATGGCGTCGTAGTAGCGGTCTTCGCCAGTCAGCTGGGCTAGACGGGTGAATTCCATGGACATGGACCCCAGCTCGGCGACGCCCGACGACGCAGAGGCGCGCCTCGGCTGGGACGCGTACCGGGGCATCCAGTTGTAATAAAGCACGGGCATGCGGTTGGGTGTGTCAAAGACGCTCATGAGCACCTCGGCCAGCTCGACGGCCTTTTTAAGCAGCTTGGGGTGTTTGCCGTCAGGGCCGCCGCTGACGTCGTAGGCGGCGAGCAGACCGCCGAGGTAGCGTATGATGGTCTCGAAAACGGGGATTTCGCGGCGGTAAGGGGTCGTAGTGAAGTCGATCTTGTCGAGGGCGCGGTACGCATCCTCAAACTCTTCCTTCATGCCCATGATCCAAAGGGTGTCCATGGAGTCGACCAGGGTGGCGGCCCAGCCGCAGAAGGGGTCGCGGAAGCCCTTGGTGACCGGCTCCAGCTCGTCGTGGCCCCAGGCGTACTTGCGGTAGCCGTTCCATGCGCGCTGCATCTCCTTCTTGACCTGGGCCAGACGGCCCTCGCGCTTCTCGCGATCCGCCAGAGACTCGGCCTTCTCAAAGCTGTGCTGGACCGGCGGCATCTTGGTGGGTTTACCGGTCGGCAGTGGTATAACGTCCTCTTTGGGAACGGGGAAGTGCTCTGGCATCTTGCGCCAGTGTGGCACCGACAAGGTCGCGCTCAACGCCACAGATTTCTGCCGATGGCTGGGCGGATCCGCAGCGTGGAGGCGATCCGGCCCCTTGTCCAGCGGCTTCTGTCCGAGGTCGCCGTCCCGGTCGGTTTCGCGATCGGGGATATCGACATCCTCAAGAGCAGCCTTCGGGGTCGCTAAAGGCGTTTTGCCGGGCGGACCTTTGACCACTCTAGAGGGAGACTCGGATGCCGCGGCAGCCTTGGCGCGGCCAAGGCCGTTTCTAGACTCGGGATCCGGCTTCAGCTCGGGGATCTGAACTTTATTAGGGCCCGGAGCCACATCATGATGTTTCACAGCTTGTTTTGGCTGGCCATCCAGCGCCTGCACTTGCGGCTTGGGCTTCGACTTGAGCTTCGGCCTGGGCCGCGGCTCAGGGCCGACCGGCAGCTGCTCCGGCTTGTGACCCCGAGCGGGCTGTGACGGCTGCTTCTGGTCGTCAAAGGTCGGCTCGGAGCCCTTGGTGCCAGGGTGAGTGTAGCTGTTGTATATGGCAGATCTACGGCCCTCCCACTGCGAATTTTGTGAAACGCGCAGCAGCAAGAAGAGCAAGATAATAGCGCCGACTACAAACACACGGTATCTCCTGATACGAAGCATCGTGAGGACCACCAGCCATCGGCCTGCCGAGCTGCGAGAAAGGAGAACGGGGGCCCGGGGGCACAAGCTGCGCAGGGGTCGCCTCAAATAGGCATGGACAGAAGAGGTCAACCGGACAAACGGGACTAAAACGAATAGGATGAAGACAAGGCGGGATAAATTAAAGCGGGAGTAAAGAAAGCAATTCGCAATATGGGGAGCGGATGGCAAAAGCGAGCCAACAGTAGCGTGTCCAATTGGGGGATGCAGGCGCCCTGCCTCATTAAAAAAAAGAAAAAAAAGAAAAGAAAAAAAAACCGTGTGCCTGTCGCGACCCCAACGCCCCGCTGGGGAAGCTTGGCCACAATGCTTCTTGGAGGTTGCGGTGACAGCACCCTGCTGACCCTCTGGGATACGCCGTCGGGTCTTGGCAGCGTCTCAAGCCGGAGGAACAGAGACAGGAGCACAAGGAGCAGGGATGTCAGGGAGCGGCTGGTAGCATCGCCCCCGCGCGCATTCGCGGGCGTTGGGCATGGACATGGACATGGACATGGACATGGACATGGACATGGTGGACATGACCATTAGATTCCCAGAAACTTTCATGTTGGTCTCATCACTGAACCCTCGCTGGGTTGGCAGACACAGTGACGGCTCCTCGGAGGTGGTTCAGCAGCCAGCGCACGCTCTTCTGCCTGGTATGGACATGATGGGGTGCATGCACGCGATCGGATTAGCGCGGGGGACGAGCAGCGCCAGCGCCCCGTTTGGACGAGATCTCTGCTGGCACCGCCTGGAGGCGCGCGTGTCTGTTGGCCGCTTTGGGGTAGCGGGCCAGTCAAAGTCCGAGGAGGCTGGCTGGCTCGGCAATTCCTGGCTGGCCGGCTGTCTATCGATGATAAGCCCGGCTGAGGACACTGCGGCTCTTGGCATTGGCTATTGTCTCCTCGGCAGTGCGCTAAAAGGTGCTCCTCGGCACTGCGGCATGAGCCATGCTCGTGGAAAGAATGCAACATCTCCGCTTGTGGGCTCGTGGCTGGCGGTTAAGGACCCCTTGAAGGAAGGCCATCCAGCGCCCCATAGATCCCAAATCTAGGCGGAAACGACATGTCCGGTTCGATTTATGGTAGGGGCTGTCCAGTGGTACACTGAGACCTGTCCGTCGGCCAGGACCCCCGCGCGACTGTCAAGCAGAAGCCGGGTTTTAGATTTCGGCAAGAAGAAGCGGATCGGTATCCAATCCCGAGGCCAACAAGCAAGCGCCATAGGTATAAAAGAACAGCGTATTCCCTCATGTCCTTGGGGCGGCTGGACGAAAGCCCCGCGAATTGCCAAGCCGGAGAAAAAGGCTCCCCCGCATCGCCTTTTGGCCAACACCATTACCCCCCGCGCTGACTGTTTGGGACGATTGGCGGGCAGTTTTGGGGGAATGAGCCAGGTTCGGCGACGATCCGAACTGTTGTGCGGTGGCATGTTAGGCTGCAGGTGGCAGGCATGTGCTGTTCCAGGGAGCTGGGACATATTAAACCTCTGGAACTCGCCCGACAAGCACAGGCAAAGAGGATAGCCGGTTCACTTGATGTCTCTCTCGTACCCATCTGCTCTGAAAAGGAATGAATGGCGGGCGGATGGGATGAACGTCTGGATGAAATGAAATCTGAGTGTGAACAAAGGAACACATTATCGAGGGGGCCGATTGTGCTGCTGGAGGTACCGCACAGCATGTGGAGCAACCTGAGGAAGGTACGCGAACCGAGCGCTGTTGATTGATGGAATTTGCCAATCTTCAGTAATTTGTGAAGTGGCCCCTTTGTGAGCCGCACGCACACTTTTTTCTGGGAACCACCACTGCGACCCACCGGTACCAGGGTCTGCACCTTCCTCATAAGGAACGGCTGACTGGCCGCTGGAGCCCAGTGCGGTACTGTTGTGTAGCGCGTGTGCCGCTCCGTTGTGATAGGCCTTGTCCAGATCCCCCTGCATATAGCAAAGAGCCCTGCATGCAGCCCCTCCTCCCCTGTGCGCTCTGGCCCGACTCAATTCTCAATTACAAGCCGCGTGTGCTGCACGCTCCCGCCACAATAGCTTCAATATCTCCATGCGTCCCTGGTCGGCTTGGGCTGTCACAATCTTTTCCGGTACGGGCCAATCCCAAACGGGCACTTCGTCAACAGCCACGCTCCTTTCCACCGCCGAGACTAGTAGTTTCGCAGACCGGGCTGCCTTTTTTTTTATATCCGCCGAGGCACCTCCATCTTCCATCTATGCGTGGAGCGTGCTGGCGTGGCTCTCGTCTCCTCAGTCACCGCCATGACATGAGCTGTTTCTTGTGAGAAATCTCTACGGAGACAGAGTCCATGGAGACAGAGGAGCTAGTGTGAGAGTGAGGGAATATCCGAGCGTCGCTACATCCATGGTGCAGCCACGCGATATACTCGAGGGTGACCGACATGATCCCAGATGGAAATTACGCACCTGCGCAGATCAGCCAAGACCACCGAACCGAGCCCGCCTGCTAAAAAAAAATATTACCGGCACCGGCGGGAGCCCCCGGAAACCTCCCGAGGACCCCTCTCCGCCCACGCCAGCACCCTTGGAGTTTAAACATAGTAGTGCCTCCAGCTGAAGACGGCCAAGACCATGACGGCTGCAGAATCTGCAGGACAATGTCCACATTGTTCCCTCCTGTGCGTCGTCCCCTGTCGACCCGCACGCACCGGCCGACGGCTGGGGCGGCCAAGCCGGTCGAGACCACGAGGCGCTACGGTGAATAGATTAAACCTGCCAATATTCGGGCCTGGACCATCGTCGCTTGCACGGCAGGATTCCCGGTGCCGCCGTCGCGCAGGTTGACGACGGGGAGAAAACATATTCAGTGGTGAGGAAGAAACAGCAAGCAGGAGCAGGAGGGGAGCGTGATTTTGCACGAGATCGTCCTGCTGCAGGGAAACTCGCGGACCGGGCCGATGGCCGGAAAAGAACCTGGTACCTAGGGCGTGCCAGGCAGGCATGTCGACGTCGGCATGTATGTTTATTCCCAGGGTTGTCGATGGTCGCGAACTACTGCCTGTGTGTCTGTAGCTATCCCCAATCTGATCTGCGCTGCAACGCAACCCCCCCTGGCCCCCCGGAGAACAGGCATTAGGGGTTCGAAGGATACGAAGGGAAACCCCATCCTTGACCAGAGCAATAAAACTCAAGCGCCCCTCTGCCGACGAGTTTACTTTAAAAGCAGACGGCCGCATCGATTGTGATCGATAACTTTCATTATCATCATCATCATCCTCAAGCCGCTCACTCCAACACTCGCTCTCATCTCCGCCTTTGCCTGACCCGCTTCGCTCACTTGGCCCGCTCCGCTCACTTGGACAACCTCCCACCCCCCCTCGCAACCATGATGACCCCGACCTTCACCCACGGCGCGCTCAGCCGCCTCGCCATCGCCGTTCTGGCCCTCTCCCCGGCCGTCCTCGCCCAGGAGACGACCACTTCGGCCGAGCCCTCGGCGACCACCACGACGTCGGCCGAGCCCACGGCGACGCTGCCCCCGGTTGCCCCCGTCTACAACCCGGGCGTCGGCACCATGACCCTGGTGGGCTGCTACGCGGAGCCCTCCGGCGCCCGCGCGCTCCCGTCCATCTACCTGGACGCGAACCAGACCGTCGAGACTTGCATCGCACATGCCAAGGCGGCCGGTGCCACTTTTGCGGCGCTCGAGTACGGCCAGGAGTGCTGGTACGGCACCAGCGTGCACGGCGGGTCCGCTCGCCGTCCCCTGGAGGAATGCAACTTCTCCTGCCCTGGCGACGCCGCCGAGTTCTGCGGTGCCAGCAACCGTTTGCTCGTGGTATGTTCCAACTTAACCCTTTGTCTTGCCTCCAACACCCGGGCCAAAAAAAAAAAACCGGCATGTCGAGATCTTTACAAGCACACGAACTGACAGAACCTACTACAGTACTCTGAGGGTGGCGTTGCCCCGCCCCTGGATAGCGACACGCCCACGCAGCCCGCCACCATCGGCGCATACACCTTCAACGGCTGTGTGACCGAGGGCAACGGCACCAGGGCTCTGACCTCGGCCTCGTTCGCGAGCGACTCCATGACGCTCCAGGCCTGCGCCACTTTCTGCGACGCCTACAAGTTCTTCGGTGTTGGTAAGTTAAATATCCATCCCCATCAGGTCCACCCCCACTACCCCCTGTCAGGATTTGCTAGCTGACGCCGTGTCACGCCTTACAGAGTACTCCCACGAGTGCTACTGCGGCGACGTCTTCAGTGAGGGCTCCATCCCGGCGGCCGGCGACTGCACCATGGTCTGCTCCGGAAACGGCCTCCAGTACTGCGGCGCCGGCAACCGCCTGTCGTCGTACGGCAAGCCTTAAGCGCGCACCTCGCTTGAGCGCTAGGTTGGAACCTGATTTTTGGCTTAATAAACCGCCTTCTAGATCTGCGGAAGGTGGAGTGATAGCGATGAGCACTAGGCTATGAGATGGATGACATCAGGGGTTGGAACTTCGATTCTGCTAACACATAATTTAATAATAATCACGTGGTGCCGCGTAGGTGCTCAGAAACCCTCCCGTTTGCCCATGCCATGCTGAGAAAGACCTTTTTATTCTACCACGACTTTCTCAATCCTTTCCCCTGTGCCTCACGTTTGACAGCACTCTCCTCTTGACTTACGTGTCACATCCGCACGCTCCCCACCGCTGCTCTGCTACTGGCCTGTGTGGTTCTGGCCACATAGGCACTGGCTGAAATCACCAGGTGCGTCTAGCATAGCGCCACTGAGGATTGTGTAACCTCCGCAAGCGGTGCGAATTATACGCGCCTGTCCTCCCCCAAACACTTGATAATATCCCTGCATGTTACCGACAGGCTGGCTCCCCGTAACCTGTTGCTCTTGCTGGTTCGGCTGATCTTGCTGTCCCTGTTGTCCCTGTTGTCCCTGTTGTCCCTGCTGACACTCTGGGCCGTGCAGGCAATGCTGGCAATGATGGCCCGTCGGGGCTTGTTGACCCTGTTGGCTCATTGGCATCTGTTGGCCCTGTGGGCCCATTGGGGTCTGTTGGCCTTGTTGAGGATTCTGGCCTATGACGCCCTGCTGTGAACCAGCTGACGACGGCGGCATCTGTGGCATGTAGCAGTAGTAGTGGCCTGGTGGGTGTTAATCCGCCTATCCAGGTGTTGCGCTGGCGATAGGACATCCCCTAGAGTTAAGACTGTATCCACCATACTGACCATGGAGCCATGGGAAGCAAGGGTTGCAGGAGCCACGCCCCGAGAATCCTGTATACCGATGCCGTTGAAGTATTTAGTATGGGCCGATGTTATGGTGCGTGTTTTACAGACCTGAGTAGCCCGAATAGGCGCTCATGTTTATGGTGATGCCGAGAAACGAGGTCGGTAGTTTCGTGTTGGCGCTGCGATTTTTTGGAAATCTCTTCGTATGGGCGATGTCTTGAAGGCGGATGTAGATTGCAGGAAAGAGTGGAAGAAAAGGTTGGGCGTAAAGGGAACACGTTATATACCTTCTCGAGCCCCGTGATTTGTTCACAGTCCGGTTGGTTGGGTTGATTCGCACCTTCAGCCCCAGGTACATGGTGATTGTGATCTAAATATTTGAAGTCTAATTCCATCCCTAATCCAACAACCCTATACCTTTTCATCACCACCATCCGCAAAATCACCACCATGGCGCTGCAGATCCTTTCCGACCTGCACCTCGAGGCGCCCAAGGGCTACGACATATTCGATATCGTGCCCCGCGCGCCCTACCTCGCGCTGCTCGGCGACATCGGCACCGTCGGCCCCCACAGGGCCGAGCTCCTCGCCTTCCTCACCGCCCAGCTGCGGCAGTTCCGCGCCGTCCTGTTCGTGCCCGGCAACCACGAGGCGTACCACGCCACCTGGCCCGACGCCCTCGCGGCGCTGCGCGACTTTGAGCGCCTCGTGCGCGCGGACGCCTCGCTCGGCGACTTCGTCCTGCTCGACCGCGCCGTCTTCCGCCCCCGGGGCGACGACGGCGGCCGTGGCGGCAGTGGCGGCGGCGGCGGGCCCCCGGGCCCCGTCGTCGTCCTCGGCTGCAGCCTCTTCTCCGCCGTCCCCGCCGAGAGCGCCGACGCCGTGGGCCACGGGCTGAACGATTTCTACCAGACCGGCAGCGGCTGGGACGTCGCGGCGCACAACGCGGCGCACGACCGCGACCTGTAGTGGCTCAACGCCCAGGTCGACGCGCTGGAAAACGACCCGGCCGTCGAGAGCATCGTGGTGCTGACGCACTGGAGCCCAACGCGCGATCCCCGCGCGGCGGACCCACGCCATGCCAACAGCGCCATTGCCAGCGCATTCGCGACCGATCTTTCGGGCGAGAAGTGCTTCAGAAGCGCAAAGGTCAGGCTCTGGGCCTTCGGCCATACTCACTGGAATTGCGACTTCACAGTCGAGAGGCGGGATGCCGGTCCGCTGCGGTTGGTCACCAATCAGAGGGGATATTATTTCTCTCAAGCTCAAGCATTTGACGCTGCAAAAACAATGGAAATTTGAAGCCACGACATATGGCGAAGCACATTGGGTCAGTTGAGACGCGTACCACCCCTTACTTTCCATGTTGAGTGGTACCCATACAGGACTCGGTTTTAGGGAGCCACACTACACATGTCTAGATGAAGACGCAACTAAAATCAGCTTCCAGATACACTATTCACATAGGCGTGGTACAGTTAGTGGAGGTGACTACAGGTGTCTGTCTGCTCACGGCTATTGGCTCATTCTATTCATTTTCTAGGCACATCCCAAAGCCTCCTTCAGCTCCTGGGTCCATTGACGCACGGATTTGGCCATACTGTCACTGCGAATCTCTGCATAAAAGCTCCGAAGCGGTTCCGGAAGCTTGTCACTCTCCAGAAACCCATCGCTGTCAACGTATAGCTCCACGTATGCAATCATAGCCATCCCGAAACTGCCAACTTCTTTTCCAGTGTCACGCGCATACAACCGTAGAAACGCCTCGAGCAGGGTATGAGACCTGAGAACAACAACGGGATAGAGGTCGCCTTTGAAAACGCCCTGACCTCGGCCTGGTCTCCAAGGGGGTAGAGCAGTACCGTCTGATGCAAACGTGAATTGCGACGGTAGCTGGGGTCCAGTCGGGTCTAACAGATCGCTGGTGAACGGCGGAAGAAACCAGAGTGTCTCTGATTGCAAGTAGATGCCAACCGTGAGTTCAGATGCGTCGATATGGCGGTGGAATACCGGGGGCAGCGAGGGCCGACTCGGGGAGGATGTGGTGCAGCTTGACGGGTCCGGGCATGGCGTGAGGTGCTTGGCATTTGACAGCGCCTGCGAGCCGCACACCAAATCGGCATCTGAGATCACAAAGTCGACAGACTTGAGTGAGGTTAGCCTGAGGAAGCACTGTATTGGAATGAATTTCGATGACTTACGCTGACTATCGATGGTATGCCGTGGACGATGAGCGAGTAGTGGCCCCAAAGGACGCACGGAACGTGAACTTCGTTGTGTGCCGTTTAAGCTTCTACCTTGCCTGAGCTGACTTCAACAGCCAGCCGATGAAAACCAACCGCGGGGTTAGGGAGCCAATATGGAGCTATATGAATACGATGAGCGGGGCGATTGTCCGATAGGCTTGTTCTGCGGTGCGGAATGATGGAACAAGGACAGGGATCGTCAGACTTTTTTTTTTTTTTTTTTTTTTTTAACACAAATGAGCTTCCCATGTTGCACGACCTAGGTTTGCCGTATGCAAAGTATATCGCAGCGCGATTGCCAGCCCACCACCACCCCAATGGCACCTCCATAGCCGTCTCGTCACCATGGGCCCGTCCTACCACCACGTCGCCGCCTCGCTCCGCCGGTCCATCCCCGCCACCGCCGCCCTGCACGCCGCCGCCCGGGGCCGACCGACCATCGCGGGCTCGACGGCGCCACAACGATGCTTCCACCGCAGCACCCCGCTGTGCCTGCCACACCATCGCAGCTTCTTCACCTCCAACTTTCTGATGCAGCAGGACGGGGGCGGCGGTGACCCCACAGCCGCGTCTGACTCGTCGAGATCCGATCCGCGGCCCTCCCTGCCGCCGCTCCCTGGGAACTCGAGCGGCAGCGGCAGCAGCAAACAGACTGGTGGCAAGACATCTAAACGGGGAAAGACGCCCGTGGGCCGCGGCAAGAACCCCCTGCGCGCCGTGGCCGCCAAGGCCCAGCGCCAGCCCACCGGCGGCGGCAGCGGCGGTCGCGGAGGCGACGGGC